ACATCGACTAAGGAATCGAATCCAAGACCTTCGGTAATAACATTATTAGTAATAATTATAATGATTGGGTTCGATAATAGTAACCACATCATGCACTGATATCCTTGTGCTTCAGTAAAACGAATACCCTCAACTAAAGAAAAGCATCATCGATGGAAATGAAGTAATAGAGAACGGATCTAGCTTGCAATTAGATATTAAAACCGTTGGATGTCGGCTCAGTGGTCTAGACATTAAGCGTTCGCGTTCGAAACCGATAGGTCCTGGGTTCGAATCTCACGAGGACATCTGTTCAAGCTTTATCAAGAAGACTGTCATGTTAATCATACGTTAGAGACTTCATTTTATAAATATAACCTGTGAATTAGTATTTAGCCTATAATGAATAGAAACATAGAAGAACATCTGGAACTCAAAACAATTAGCAACCAACACCAAAGTCGGAATTTTCAATACAAATGTGAAGACAGTTCTACTGTATGAAGCGGAAACCTGGAAAACTACGAAATCCATCATCCAATAGATAAAGTTGTTTATTAACGCAAAATACTTCAGATCCGCTGGCCGGACACTATAAGCAACAACCTACTGTGGGAGAGAACAAATCAGATCTCAGTGGAGGAAGAATTCAGGAAGAAACGCTGGAAGTGGATAGGACACACGTTGAGGAAAGCACCGAACTGCGTCACATGACAGGCCCTCATATGGAATCCTCAATGTCGAAGGAGGAGAGGAAGACCAAAGAACACATTACTCCGAGAAATGGAGACAGACATGAAAAAAATGAACAAGAATTGGATGGAACTAGAAAAGAAGGCCCAGGACAGAGTGGGTTGGAGAATGCTGGTCAGTGGCCTATGCTCCATTGGGAGAAACAGGCGTAAGTAAGTAAGTAAGTAAGTATAATAAATAGAAATAAGTTTTAAGAACAACTACTTAAGCGTTTTAAGTTTCACCTTGAATTCAACCATATTGATTCTGATTTTGTAGATGAATGTTTAAGGATAAGGAACATTTTCATTTAGTTAGTCTATGGACATTGAGTAAACATTCACTATTGTAATAAATTGTCTATCATCAGCTTTGTAGTTTAATAGAATATATCTGACTTTATATTTACATTGGAATCGGTCAACTATAGACTATAGTCATGATATGGTAAAGAATTAGAACATTCAGAAATTCCATTACAAACAGTAAAACATAATATACATCTGGCAAGACTCTAATTTATGGACGAGCCAATTAGAAACGTTTGAGGGATTTCAAGCTCACGGAGCCAATTTCAGTACTTGATTCACACATACGGTTGGTTCATAGAGGATTTTAGAGAAAGCGTGATAATTGAGCGGTTACAACAAATGGAACTAGTAAGAAGTTCCTTTATTTGTGATTGTGGGGATCAACTGACTTATAGACATTGAACAGACCACCGTGATGATGATGTCTTTCAATGTTAGATTTATTGAAGGAGGAAATCTGCTAAAATCAGATTTTTCGCTCGATCCAGATTGAGACTAAGGCAAATAATGATAATTGTTGCCATTTAGATAATAAAAGCACAAGTTAAATTGGCTGCATCTGGGTAATATGATATATACGAGTGATTGCAGAGCGTACAGATGTCTACATAGACTTGATTATGTGCATTGTGTCGTTATCCATAAGCGTCAATTTGTGTGTCCAACAACAGAAGTGCACATAAACAATTTCGAAGCTATATCATTGTGGCTGAAAGACTTTTTCAACCATAACATGGCTCCAGAAGCTTATTATTATGGAGCCATATAGACGATTTCTTGTACTGTATGCATTACGATTTCTAAACCTTTGAACCTCTTTCTAACATTGACAAGTTTTTGAACCATGTAAAAGAAATGTATATTTTAAAACTATAACAACTGTTTTCGGATTGGCCAATATTTCTCAAGGTCACATACAAAGGTCATCAATAAATTATAGTTTCGCCACAAATTTCGGGATATTTAATGTGCCATAAGATGGTACTAATATACATATCCACAAATTTTTTTTTGTTATGATTGGCGCTTACTATCACGGCTCCAATTCTAATAAACTGTTATTAAGTTTCAATCTCCTAAGAAACTAAATATCTTTGAAGTAATATCATCATGTATTATCAGTATAGATGGATAGTGGAATTCAGGATGCGCATTTCGTCCTGTGTGATACTCCTCAGATGGATGTAAATGCATCTAAAATTTAATGTTTAATGCAGGACTCGGAATATAATTCTGTTTGCTTCATACGCTATCGCATTATCCACTAAGCTACTGAGTCCTAATAGTCACTTGCTTGTGCAATGGGTTGACATCTTAAATTCACTTGATATTGTTCACTTGAATTTATTAGTTGACGAGTCCCAGATAGGACGAGACGCGCGTCCTGAATTCCACTATCCATCTATACTAGCCATCATCCATCTTTGCAATATCAAGGAAATCTGTACAGTATGTACATATGCAACTATGAGGCTGATCAATTGTAGTCTTAAACATCAATACTAAGCAAATTTTATATCGTTATGTTTTCAAGTAGAGACACTACATCTAACTCAGGGTCGGAAAAATGAAAACTTCTCAGATGCGACAAAAATGATCTTGGTGGTCTAGTTACAGTATTCCGAAAACAGGCAATGGGTTTTAAGGGTTACTCAAGCCCTAAGGCTTCAGGCTGGGTTATTTCGTTTACTACCCTACATATGTGTTGTATGTAGTATAAGCTATTCGACTATGTAGAGCTGAAGGTCTCATATAAAAGTGGAGGTTCGCCCTTGGTATTATGGACGGTTCAGCATTGCCTTGGTACGTTTCACTGACTGTTCATGAACAAAATTGGTTTTCTGGTTAACCGATTTCATTCATACTGGTGGTTGTATTTCAGTGTTCTTGAGAGCCATTGTCATTTGGACATTCTAAGGCATGTCACCATTGCTAACATTAATGAATTTGACTGTGGTGTAAGCGGAATAAGTCAACTATGGCCAGTTCGTGCTGTGCATAATTGATTCACACGATCATTCACTAGAATAACTTATACATGTTTATGTGAATGTGTGCTTGATACCTGTTTGGTTACTCCACAGGATTGAGTTGTACAACTCAGATTGTAGCATTAAAGTCTATATGGTGTCTGATCCTCCTATGAAGCGGGATTGAGTTGTATTGCTCAAATTATAAAATTTAAGCCTGGGTGGTGTTTGGCTCTCCTGTTAAACAGAATTAAGCTGTATTGTTTTGGGTTGTCATGTGAAAGTCTGAATGGTATCTGGTTCCTGTGAAAACCAACAACAAGGGTATATTATATTAACTATGTTATCATTGATACAAACCTCGGAATAACATAATTAATTGACAAGAAATACTTTAAAATATAATAAAATAAATCAAAAGGTAAATGAACTCTTATATTGACAATTTAATTACACATATGCACACACATACACACACATACATTTATATACATTATAGATGATATACACAGATACATAAATGTTTATCATTATCTTTCTCTATTTATTTACGAACATAGATAGATAGATAGATAGATAGATAGATAGATAGATAGATAGATAGATAGATCTGTGGATAGATAGATAGATAGATAGATAGATAGATAGATAGATAGATAGATAGATAGATAGATAGATAGATAGATAGATAGATAGATCTGTGGATAGATAGATAGATAGATAGATAGATAGATAGATAGATAGATAGATAGATAGATAGATAGATAGATAGATAGATAGATAGATAGATAGATAGATAGATAGATAGATAGATAGATAGATAGATAGATAGATAGATAGATAGATAGATAGATAGATAGATAGATAGATAGATAGATAGATAGATAGATAGATAGATAGATAGATAGATAGATAGATAGATAGATAGATAGATAGATAGATAGATAGATCTGTGGATAGATAGATAGATAGATAGATAGATAGATAGATAGATAGATAGATAGATAGATAGATAGATAGATAGATAGATAGATAGATAGATAGATAGATAGATAGATAGATAGATAGATAGATAGATAGATAGATAGATAGATAGATAGATAGATAGATAGATAGATAGATAGATAGATAGATAGATAGATAGATAGATAGATAGATAGATAGATAGATAGATAGATAGATAGATAGATAGATAGATAGATAGATAGATAGATAGATAGATAGATATAGATAGATAGATAGATAGATAGATAGATAGATAGATAGATAGATAGATAGATAGATAGATAGATAGATAGATAGATAGATCTGTGGATAGATAGATAGATAGATAGATAGATCTGATAGATAGATAGATAGATAGATAGATAGATAGATAGATAGATAGATAGATAGATAGATAGATCTGTGGATAGATAGATAGATAGATAGATAGATAGATAGATAGATAGATAGATAGATAGATCTGTGGATAGATAGATAGATAGATAGATAGATAGATAGATAGATAGATAGATAGATAGATAGATAGATAGATCTGTGGATAGATAGATAGATAGATAGATAGATAGATAGATAGATAGATAGATAGATAGATAGATAGATAGATTGCATAACTTCAATGGAATAGAATTCAATCATGCCAAAGATTGTTTATTGATTGATTGATTGATTTGGAAAAATAAATAAACAAACAAACAAAAAATCAATAAAAAATAGTTATCAAAATTATTATTGTTATTATTATTAATTGTAAAAAATAGTTCATTTATGATTAAAAATCTTCCAGTTAATTATGTAATATATACAGATTATTGATCGTTTTAGGTGAGTGGGGTGTGTGGGAAAATATAAGAATGTTATTTCCCATTATATCATTAAATCAATTTAAAAGGGTGGTGGTGAGAAAGAATAGAGGGGGGATAGGGGGGAGGGAAAGAGGAGATATAGAAACATACACACACACAAACACACACAAAACAAACAAACATTCTCATTGATAAACTAGTTAATTTTCATTTGTACATTGTTGTAAATCAATTGTTTTAGCTGGAATTATTATAATTGATGATGAATCAACAATACATTTTGAAATAGATGATAAATGATCATTATGATATAAATGATTAGTTGTTAAAGGAATTAATGAACATGTTGATGACATATGATATTGATTTATTGAATTTGGGCATAAATTCATTGTTGTTGGCCTATATTCAATTAATGTTGGTGTTAATTCAATAGTAGATGATTTTACAATAGAATTATGTAAATTAGGATGAATAGATAATAATGATATAGGATTATGTGTTGTAATATCACATGTTATAGGGATAAGAGTTGAATGAGTTGAAAAATTTGTTTCAGATATTGTTAAACTGGATGTAGAATGTTTCATATTTGTTTCATTTAATGTATTATGCAATCTGTAATGTAAAAATGAATGAATGAATGAATGATTATTTATATTTATAAAAGTTCTAATGAACGGAAACACAGAGAGGGGGGAAGGGGAGAAAGCCCTCCCCCCCCCCAACATGTTAATCAATCGTTTTAGAGTTTATTGTTCTTTATTTCTACAAGAATTACTCTTTATTCTTGTTGTCTTTTCTTTGATATACTTAATTTTCTATCATTAAGTATTTCACTTTCTACTGATAATACATACTACTTATATCTGTCGATATCGGTAACATACACCATATGAGTAATTTAATTGATATTATAAAGGAATTAAACTAATTTTCACAAGATCTTTAAATATACTCTCAAGGTGAATATTCATATTCATGTTGAAATGATCTCAACTGGATGGCCATGTTATCCCAGTATGCTCATCTAGGACCTCGACGTAGGGGATTCGAACCCTGGACCTATACTAAGGTCTATTGAATCCTTAGCCATACTAATTTTCAAATCCTGTTTGTTCTCACTGTAAGCCTACCCTGGTAGGTTTAGTTCATTATCCAGAGTGATGAGTTTTCAAATTGTCTTTTCATATTATTTGCTTTAATATACTTGTCTCTTCTTACTCTCCATTTCTAGCCAATTTAACCTAGTAATTTTTTTCTATCAAGGTTGGAATAAATTAATGTTATTCAACGAGTCTATTATCATTATAAGTATTCTAAATCAAAGAAATCCTATATGTCAGAAGGAGTTTTGTGGAGATTGTAGTAATTTCGATGATTAAGATCTCACAGGGGGCGAGATCGTGGATGCGCACTGCTGAGGAGTCCCATAATTGGACGAAACTGTTGTCCATCACTTCCAGGTTTTCCATGGTGGTCTAGCTTCAATTGACTTATGATCTTAATCATTGAAAAATTCTATATCGTTTATTACATAATTTACAAAATGTCAATTAATCATCTTAAACTTGACTATTCTTTTTGCAAGTACCAGTCAATCATCTCAGACTTTAATGTTCCTGCATTTTCATACCAATTACTTCCTGGTTCCGTTGTTTCCTCATCAATCCGCTTGACATTCCACTGTCAAATATTCTATTGTTGACTGACATTATATACTACTTATGTCGATATAAGTAGCACACATACAGTAGTATAACATTAAAACAAATTGAATAATTCAATATAGTAAGGCAACAATGTAATTATTTTCATTGACATATTTAATGTCACCAGAGAATGTATGTTCAATTAAAACTTGAAGATCATGAACGTCTTATTAACCGATGGGAGATACAATCAAAACAATGAATTAAACAATGACAAATTTAAGGTTAACAAGAACCAAATAACATCCTGATCTACAGGACAAGTTGTGAGCTATATGTGGAGAAATTAGAACACTTCATTTGTATTTAAAGTTCGTACTAATGATGTCATTCAGAAGAACGATGGAAGCTTCACGACTAAATCATCCAGCTCAGAGAACAAAACTCTATCAAAATCATCCATCTCAGATAAAAATCTTCTCGATACATACAATTAATCCTCCAGTTTAACAATTCAATTTCTTTTTGTTATTTCCCGATAAACATAATGAATGGTAACTTTTGGGATCCATTTATGGACCAATATTATACGTATACTTTTATTGCATAATTGTTAAATACCTAAACTGTTCATATTCAAATCCCTCTTATTATAAGCTTTATTTTGACCTACGGACTATTACTATACGATTTACCATTCTTGAATTATACCCAGTCTATCAATCACTATCTCCCACATTCACAATCTCTTTTACATAGAACTTAAAGAAATGATGTTATCTATGTTGTGGTTTGATGCGGTCTTTTTGTTCGGTATATAAACTCAGTATGTTTGAAGTACATGATTCATATAGTGGAGGCTGCGATTGATGTTCTCGACTTAACTGATCGGGCAAGGCGGGAAACAGGACCGATACATACTCTAGACTGCTCGCACGGGTCTTACACGTCATTAGTCTGATCGATAATTCACTGCTCTCTAATTGGTGGTATCATCACGTTATACATTAACAGGGAACACAGGACACAAGTTATAACGCTTTTTATTAAAACTGGTATATATCTATTGTAGAAGGGGAAAGGTATCCAACCCTAGATTGATTAAAGTTAGACATTGACACCTTTGAATTTCGAATCACTGGTCTACAGATTAAGCGTTCGCGTACGAGATCGATATGTCCTGAGTTCGAGCCACGCTGAGAAGATAGTAGATACACATTGCAGAAGAGTATCATACTAGGACATGATGGACGTCCAGTACTCCCAGAATTTCCATAGTGGTCTAATTTTAACACTCAGAGATGTGTTTCGTGGAGATTGTAGTAATTAATTAATTGAATTCATGAGTCCATTAAAACTAGATCACCATGAAATATCTGAAAGCTTTAGTCAGCGGTTTCATCCTCGTATCGAACTTTTCATCAGTACCATATCCACGATTCTACCCAACGAGATTCGAACTTAGAACTTATCAGTCTACTGTCCAAACACTTAACTTTTATAATCATTGATCCAACATTCAATAATGGTCTAACTTCAATGAATTCATGAATTCAAGTAAATTAATATACATAGATATTCATAGAAACTTTATATCATACTTACATAGTCTGATTGGATTGTGGTAATGATCCATTTAATTTATTCATATTTACACATAGATCATGATTAGATTGTATTAGAAATTTATCTTTATCATGAATTAATGGAATATTTGGTAAATTGATTGATTGATGATGTTTTATATAAAGAATAATAAGAATTATACAAATAATAATAATAATAGACCCTATCAGTATGACAATCATAATCCATCCAAAGTTCCTTTTGAAATAAGAATAATTTGAGTTGAATAAAGAATCTGAAATGAAAAGTATAATAATATTAAATGTTTATATAGAATGAAGAAAGTGCTAAGTTTTGAAGTGATCACGAGTTCACTTAATCTGCGAATAAGAAACAAGACTCAGTGACCAAAAGCCAGTAACCTAGCTATTGTATGCGTCCCACCTGGCGTCCAAGCTTAGGATGTGAAGTACATCCTGCAACAACCAGAAAACGAGCGATCACAACACACACAATTGAAAACGTATATATATATATATATATAATCGATATTGCCATGGAGCTTCTTAACATTTAATCGATAAATTCGTCGATCAACTATGTGCGTGGGTGGTAAGAAATGTCCACACATACATCTGCATACAAGCTCCACAAAGATAAAATTACAAACTATGAGTTTTTGGGGGATCTATCTTCCCCAACAGAAAGTAAATAACAACTAGACAAAGTAATGTTAGTTTACTTATAGAAACTTGAATACATACATATGCAACACACTTCGTCAATCGGTTTATATGAAAGACGGGATACTGCTCCGGGTGCTCAAACTGAAGTAAATAGTTTTCTAAGGAGACCTGTCATCAAGCCTTTAACCTAGAAGTCTAATCCACAAGGTAGTTTAGCAACGTTAAGAGATGCATTCTCATGTTAGATAGCAATCAACATTAGGTTCATAAGACATTTATTCCCTAAGGATTCTGGTAGCTGATATGCACCACTGGTTTCGAATCATGGATTTTTAACTAACCTATATGGACCATCTGTGTCTACTAAGCCGGTTAAAGTACCGGACATTTGTCCTTTTAGTTTCGTAAATAACACCGCCTTCACGAGAAGTCAGTGAGTAGGTCTTCCCTGGAGTGACTGTATGCGAATGGTCATGTGAGAGAATTTCGAGGGGAAGAGCGCCTCTCCTCACCTTTGACCGTATCCGGACATTTTGGGACAATTAGTGGTAAATCTTTTACGGAATAACCTGTATGCATTGGAATAAATCGATACCATCTTTATTCCAAATCGGCGAATTCAATGTATTTATTTCATTTCACACGTTGGGTTCAAATTATGTTGAGTGATTATGGAATAACATGACAAATATTCTAAAACATTAATCCGTATCTAACTTTATCAGTTTGTTAAACGTCATATTTTATTCATCTCATTATGAGTTAATATCGGATGGGTTTTGTGGATATTATAGTAATTTCAATGGGTAAAATCATGAGTCAGTTGAAGCTAGACCACTATGGAAAACCTGGAAGTACTGGACGACCGTTTCGTCCTGGTGTGGGACTGTTCAGCAATGCGCATCCACGACCTCGCCCCCTGCGAGATTTGAACCCAGGACCTACTGGTTGTTAACCACAAACCTCATTATCATTGATTCTAATTGAACTATATTTAGCAAAGATCATTTTCTTCGATTCGTTGCATTTTTCACAAAGTGTTTGTCACATAATGTGCTCCAGTAGATACGATAACTATTCGAATGTATTATTATGAAAATTCATTTGATAGTTACTGAATTATCATTAAACTGAAATCGAATTCGCGTGTTTCGTCCTATTTGGGACTCGTCAGATGGATGTACTTGCATCTCATAGTTGATGTTCACCTCAGAATTCTAACCCAATACAGTTTATGCCAAACGTCATAGTGTTATCTCCTTAGCTATAGAGTGCTGATCGTCAATTGCTTGTGGAATAGAGTGAAGTTTAAATCCACTTCATATTGTTTATTCGAATCTTTACATTGATTTCACAGCTAGCCATTATCTATCTTTGCTTAAAAAGCTTGTGACTTCAGGTAATATCGAGGCAATCTGTACAGGATGCACATATGCCAATATAAGACTGATCGATTGTAGTCTTAAACATCAATGAAGAGATTCAACTAAACAATATAAACCGAATTTAAACTTCACTACTCAAGCATCTGGCTATCAGGACTCTTTAACTAAATGGATAACACGATTGTGTTCAAAGCGAATTGTTCTGTGTTCGAGTCTTAGAGTGAACATCAACTCTGAGATGCATGTACATACAGTTGACGGGTAAAAAATAACACGAAACGTGAGTCCTGATATTCCACTAATTTCCAATATCTATCTTTGCTTATAATAGTTGTGTCTTAAGACTATATCATTGCAGTCCGCATAGAATGCACATATGTCATTATGTAGCCTTAAACATCAATGGAAAGATTCAAGGAAACAATATCGATTGAATTTAAATACATAGGTCTCCTTAATTTCATTTTATGGTTTTTATTTCTAGGGTGATGTAACTAAATGATTCTTTGCTTATTTTCATTCTGAAAAGGATTACTTCACTGATATCATTGAAAATCATACAAACTTTATATAATTCCTGCAAAGAACCTTCATTCAACTTCATTACTATTGGAACTTTACTTTTCTCGATAAGGTGACTTAACAATTATAATAGATTATATGAATAACTAATAACTAGGTCATATGATCATCTTGGAACTTAATCAACAGATTACTATAGCGACTATAGAATAAACAGAATAGTATAAAGTACTGATGTTCTCATCTGTTAATAATGTCAGTTAACCATATATACCAGATACAGACTTGAACCTTATCCTGAGAATAGATTTTCAATATTAATCATGTTAATTAGTTATAAGAAATCATACTTTCAGTGAATAATTTTTCTTCATGACAAATGTCTGTTTGATTTCGTACACATATCCATATACGATAAGCAATATGTTGATCTTTCTGAAATTTCACACCAAGATATGATTGGTTATTATGTTCACCGTGAATTGTTTGATTTGAAACATTGTCATCTAGAAAATATGAGAAATAATAATCAAAAAATTGGTTGATGTAACATTATATATATATATATAGAAGAAATTTATGGCGTTTAAAGCGATCGGTACTGGGTTCGAGTCCCGGAGAGAACATCAACTCTGAGATATAGGTACATTAGGCTGATGAGTTTGAAATAGGACGAAACACACTTTAAACTGGATTCCACTGATGATATAGCTTGTGAATTCAAGTAATATCGAGTCAGTCCGTACAGAATGTACATATGCTAACAAGAGACTGATAAAATGGAGTCCTCAATAATAATTGGAAGATACAAATAAATAACATTAAGTGAATAAGAATTTATATGATTCTTCGGTATTGTATAATTCGTTTGCCATTACTTATTGTTAATATCATTTAATGAATAAACATTGTACACTATACAATCGGTTTACTTTGATAAATCATTTTGTTATTATATTGTTAGTAATTAAGTAAGGTTTTGAACAAACGAATATAAGTACCTTATTCCCTTTCATACTTAAATATACTATGTTGAATGCTACTGATATTGACAGATATAAGTAGTATGTAACATCAATCAAAAGTGAATTAGCTACAGACAAACGGTTAAGAAAATCGAAGAAAAGAAAACGACAGCAGAATATGATTCATGCGGAAACGAAGGAATTATAAACTTTGAGATGATTGATTGATATTTTGCTAATGAAATATTTAATGTATCAATTCACTTGATGTCATTTTACTTGATTCTTCCCATTGTAATTTAAGACTGCAATTGATCAGTCTCTTGTTGACATATGTTCAAAGATGAATCGTGGTTGAGTGTTTCGTCCTATTTGGGACTCGTCAGCTATATGTACCTGCATTTCAGAGTTAATGATCTCTCCGGAACTCGAAATCAGTACCGTTCACTTTAAACGCCATCTACTCTGTGATGCATTCACATCTGGCTGACGAGCTCAAATAGGACGAAACCCTAATCCTGTATTCCACTGTTTGCCACTATCCATCTTTATTTACTACATGATTCTGTATGTTTGTCTCCATTGATGTTCTCGTTCAATACGTTCTTTATAATGATATCATCCAATTCTTACAGGATTAACAACAAACTACCACAATTCAATGAAGTATATAATCGAATCAAACTTACTTTGGGTTAAATTATGTAATATCCATGATTGTTTATAATTATATTTTGATTTTTTCATTACTTTCAATGGATTTGGATCATCTGAATTCGCTTGAGCATATTCTATTTTACTACCACCACCACCATCAACATCATCATCATCAACATTAACATCATCGTCATCAAGATTATGTTGTATTACAGTTTTATTTGTTTTTACATGATTACGTAATTGTAATTTAGAATCGATACGACCTCCAATATTATTGATTAATGGATATGTTTCAATGTAATCGATTGAAATATCTTTATTTTTTGATAATATTAATTGATCATGATCAATTGATGATTGACATGTATCTATAAATGTTGACCAATTTATATGATTGACTTGTAAGTAGTCAGTTTTGATACAAAATAATTTTGAATCATTTCTATGTGAAAAGTTTAATTGAATGAAATTATTTTGATTGTAATTTATATTTAATCTTGGGAAGATAAGTTCTAAATGAAATCAATATAATAATAATAATAATAATAATAATTAAAATGATACCATACAATACAATACAATACTTAAACTGTTAAGATATTCATATAATCAATAAAGGAGGGGGTTTGTGGTGATTTAATAGTTGTATTCATGAGTTAATCAAACATAGAACACTATGGAAAACGTTAGAGCACTCGATGACCGTTTCTTCTAAATATAAGATTCCTCAGTTGCGGAGAGCATCTACAATCCCACTACGTGAGATTCGAACTGAGGACCTATCACCTTCATGCGCGAGCGATTAATCATTAGACCAATGAGCCGGTCGGTATCCAATGCTGTTATTGTATTAATTCACCCAATCCACGAAATTGAGCGACACATCTACCATTATCTTCAGTGAATTACTATCCCACAACAAGCCCGGTTGAACTCCATTAGTCACTGCTTTTCATTAGATCTCCAGGAAATACCTCTTGAAAATCGTCACTAGTGAGAAAATGTTGATTAACATCAGAAGGATTTTTGTTAATTGTATAGTAATTTCAATAGTTGAGATGATGAGTCAATTGAACTTAGACCGCTATAGAAAACCTGGAAGAACTGGACAGTCGTTTTGTCCTACTGTGAGAGTCTTCAGTAGTGCGCATCCATATCTATGTAATTGTATAACTTTAACCAATCAACAAAATCGCGCCACCATCCACCATTGTTTTTTCAGTAAGTTATTATTTCAAGACAAATCTTGGTTTAAACCTCGTTATGAAGTTCCATACTAGAACGAAATGATTGTCTGATGCTTTCATAATACTCTTCTTTGAATATTTACTTCTAAATGTTTCTTTTCAAAACAAAAGAATCAGTTTGAAATCATTTCACTTGTCTGCAACCACTACTACTACTACTACTACTACTACTACTACTACTACTACTACTACTACTACTACTACTACTACTACTACTACTACTACTATAACAATTTTGATGACATGTCTATTGTTTAATAAAGTCTAAATTGATTTGAAATCATTAACTGAATGACTATTCAGTCTTAAGTAGATTGAAATCAATATGAGATTAGTTGACAACATAAAAAAAAATCACAAAAATAATTCCCTAGAGACTAATTTAAAAAGGAATAACTTAAACTATTGTCAATTGGAAAATGTTCACTTCAATCCTAATTAAACAAAATAAAATAAAAAAAATTTTTTATTTTTGGTATTTATACTCATTCATATGACACTGATAAATAGGTCTATCAATTATGTAATTTTACTTCTAAGGTGTTTGTAAAATTAAAATTTTTCCCGGTTTTAAAAAAAAACAAACAAAAAAATTTCATACACACACATGCACTTGACTGAAATTAGTATCAGAAGGGGTTTTGTGGAGATTGTAGTAATTTCAATGAATAAGATCATGAGTCAGTTGAAGCTAGACCGCCACCATGGAAAACTTGGAAACACTGGACGGCCGTTTCGTCCTATTGGGGGACTCCTTAGTGGCAGTGCGCATCCACGACCTCATTGCCTGCGAGATTCAAACCCAGGACCTATCGGTCTCGCGCGTGAACGATCAACTTCTAGACCACTGAGCTGGCCGGCATCCAACGGTGTTAATGTCTAACTTCAACTAATCCATGAAATTGAGTGACACATCCACCATAGTGTTCAGTGAGTTACTATCTCACAACAGACCTAGTTGAACTCCACTAGTCACTACTTCTCACTAGAACTCCAGGATATATCTCTTGAAGCCAGTCACTAGTGAGCATATGTTGATTATTATCAGAAGGGGTTTTGTGGAGTTTGTAGTAATTTCAATGATTAAGATCATGGATGTGGGCTTAGTGGTCTAGTGGTTAAGTGCTCGCGCGCGATATTAGTAGGTCCTGGGTTCGGATCTCGCAGGGGGCGAGGTCGTGGATGCGCACTGCCACTAAGGAGTCCCATAATAGGACGAAACGGCCGTCCAGTGCTTCCAAATTTTCCATGGTGGCGGTCTAGCTTCAACTGACTCATGATCTTAATCATTAAAATTAGTATATATAAATAGTAAACAAATTTGTAATTCATAAGCATGGATATACCTATTAGATATTAGTGTTGATTGAAGTTATTATATTACATTATACGGCCACATATATTCGACCATTGATAGGGAAGTCTTACTTACTGACTTCTCGCAAAAGTGGGTGTTATTTACGAAATTGAGAGGATGTAAAGCGAATGTATGGCACTTGAACCAAGTTAGTGGACACTGATGTTTTAACTAAAGGAGTTGGAAAACTCTGATTACAAACCTGTGGTGCACATAGGATTCAGGATCCAAAGGAAACATAATGGCGTATGTACCAATTGTTGGTTAGCATCTACCATCAACCTGCATCTCCTCAAGTTGCTCCACTGTCTTGTGTATCAGAACTTTAAGTAGAAGGCTCCAGATGTGGCCCCTCTAAGGAAACTGTGTATTTCTGTCTAAGCACCTGGGCAGTATCACAGCCCACATACAAATAAAGTGACTTCCTATACTTCAACAATATCATTTGAATTCCTCAATATGGATCAGTACAATACTCAGTGTTTTTTTATAGACTGATAACGTTTTTTTAGTCTGACTAGTTCATGATATCTCCTAACCAATTCCTACACTAGCTAATATCGTGGGTAGAGGTAGAGTATGATTAAGTATACTTAAGGTACAAACACATCCAATCGATTAACCACAACTTTAGTAAGATATAAATTAGGTTAATGAAAATAGTTTTTTCTCGATTCTATTAACTATGGAGATTACTGACGAGTCTGAAACTGGGACAAAACAGTCATCTAGCATTTCTTGATTTTCATTGTAATTTAACCAATTCAATTCAATGATGGAATCAAGTAAATCTGTCTGTAATGTAAAGTTCAATAATTCAATAACACAATTCAATAATTCACCTTTAGTAGTAATTGTATATTCTTTAGATAATTTACCATGTCCCAAATCATTTTTTCCATAAATTACAAAAGTGTAAATGGTATTCGGTGTTAAACCTGATAAACAATGAAAAACAAACAAACGAAAACAAATTAGATTATAAGTTTCATGTAAATGATATTTCAACAAGAGATTTCTTCATCTTATAAACATGTAACTTAGTAAAATAATCATACAATCGGTGTCAACATGTCCTGTCGGTTCCATTCATGGTATTCAAAATGTAGATTTACATGTATCTAGGAGGGAAATATCACTGATATGACAGAATTCATAGTCATGCGATAGAACGGTTTCTTTAAATTCAGTTGAAGAATTACGGATATTCATCGAAAGGTCGACAATCAAGTAAAAAGAAATAACAGGGTATAATATCTAGGTCTTCTTAAAGAGTTGGGAAAAATCCAACAAAAAGTTAAACAATGAAAGCTTTAAGATCAACATGAACCAATCAACATTGTGATGAAATTCAAACACTTCGTTTCTATCTAAATTTTGTCTTTCAGAAGAATGATAAAGTCTCCACAACAAATCTTCTTCATCATTTCGAAATTGGAATTTTGAAGAGATCTATACTGTCCAACTTATTAAAACTAGTGTCACATTAAGACAAGTTACCTCTTACCTATTCTCCATTTTACTGAGGTTTTTACGCTGATCTTTGCTCATAATGCTTGTAAATTAAGGCAATATCGAGGCAATACGCACAGTATGCACATATGCCAATAAGAGACTGATCAATGGCAGTCCTAAACATCAATGAGAAGATTCAAGTAAAACAATATCAAGTGAATTAAACTTCACCCCACTGCACAAGCAAGTGGCTATCAGGACTCAGTAGCTAGGTGGATAACGCGATGGCGTTTGAAGCGGACGGTACTGGGTTCAAGTCCCATTGAGTACATGAATCAAAATGAAGATTTGAAAAAGTGGTTAACTGAATTCAAATAGTAACTGTGCAAAATTACAATATTGCGAAGGGAAGGAGGAGTGAGTGATTTATTATTTATGATCTAACAAATAAATAAAGGTAAAGGCGAGGATTGTCAAAGCAAGGACAGAATTCCTTCAATCGCAGAACATATGGAACTCGAAACAATTTTCAACCAATATCAAAGTCAGAATCTTCAATACCAACGTCAAGGCAGTTCTATTGTACGGAGCTGAAACGTGGAGAACTACAACAACCACCATCAAGAAGGTACAGGTATTTATCAATAGCTGTCGACGCATGATACTCAACATCCATTGGCCGGATACCATCAGCAACAGCCTTCTGTGGGAAAGGAAATTAGGAAAAGACGATGGAAATCAATAGGACATATATTACGCGAATCATCAAACTGCATCACGAGGCAAGCGCTAACTTTGAATAGTGAAGGGAATTGGAAAAGAGGAAAGCCGAAGAACACATTATGTCGGGAAACAGAATCAGATATGAAAAGGATGAATAAGAAGTGGGAAGAGATGGAAAGGATTGTTTGAGACAGAGTTGGATAGAGAATGCTGTTGAGCAGCCTATGCTCCTTCACGAGGAGTAACAGGCGTAAATAAATAAATCAATAAATAAATAAAGATGTTCATTATTGATGTCAATATCATTCATTGAAATTGAATTCATTTACTGAAAGCAGACGTAGCGGCAACTGCAAGGATACTCCAAACTCTCTTCAGAAAGATCTGGGATGAGGAACAGGTACCAAAAGACTGGAAAGAAGGACTTCTGGTCAAAATACAAAAGAAAGGCGATCTCAGCAACTGTGACAACTACAGGGGAATCACTCTTCTTTGAATACCAGGAAAAGTCTTCAACAGGGTATTGTTAAACAGGATGAAGGACTCCGTAGACGCCCAACTTCGAGACCAACAGGCAGGATTCCGTAAGGATAGATCGTGCACAAACCAAATCGCAACTCTACGGATCATTGTGCAACAATCAATTGAATGGAATTCATCACTCTATATCAAATTCATCGACTACGAAAAAGCATTTGATAGCGTGGACAGAACAACATTATGGAAGCTTCTTCGACACTACGGCGTGCCTCAGAAGATAGTCAATATCATACAGAATTCCAATGATGGATTAAACTGCAAAATCGTTCATGGAGGACAGTTGACAAAGTCGTTCGAAGTAAAGACCGATGTCAGGCAAGGTTGCTTACTCTCACCCTTTCTCTTTCTCCTGGTGATCGACTGGATCATGAAGACGTCAATATCTGAAGAGAAGCACGGGATACAGTGGACAGCTAGGATGCAGTTGGATGATCTAGACGTCGCAGATGATCTGGCTATTCTATCGCATACGCAACAACAAATGCAGGAGAAGACAACTAGTGTAGCTACAGCTTCAGCAGCAATAGGTCTCAATATACACAAAGGGAAAAGTAAGATTCTGCGATATAACACAGCATGTAACAATCCAATCACAATTGACGGAGAAGCTTTGGAAGATGTAAAAACCTTTACATATTTGGGCAGTATCATCGATGAACACGGTGGATCTGATGCAGATGTGAAGGCACAGATTGGCAAAGCAAGAGCAGCATATTTACAACTGAAGAATATCTGGAACTCAAAACAATTGGCAACCAACACCAAAGTCAGAATTTTCAATACAAATGTGAAGACAGTTCTACTGTATGAAGCGGAAACCTGGAAAACTACGAAATCCATCATCCAATAGATACAGGTGTTTATTAACAGTTGTCTACGCAAAATACTTCAGATCCGTTGGCCGGACACTATTAGCAACAGCGTACTGTGGGAGAGAACAAATCAGATCTCAGTGGAGGAAGAAATCAGGAAGAAACGCTGGAAGTGGATAGGACACACATTGAGGAAAGCACCGAACTGCGTCACAAGACAAGCCCTCACATGGAATCCTCAAGGTCGGAGGAGGAGAGGAAGACCAAAGAACACATTACTCCGAGAAATTGAGGTAGATATGAGAAAAATGAACAAGAATTGGATGGTACTAGAAAAGAAGGCCCAGGACAGAGTGGGTCGGTTGGAGAATGGTTGTCGGCGACCTATGCTCCATTGGGAGTAACAGGCGTAAGTAAGTAAGTAAGTAAGTCAGACATTTTGTATTTAGTTTAGATAGAACGTTTCTATGTGATAGACTAGTGAAATAAACTATGTACCATATAGGAAAACTGAAATAAGTTAGTTCAATGATAAAATACATAATATTCATTAATAACAAACCTGATATTTGACATTGTTGATATATTGGTAATCTTGGTACATGATTGATTAACATTGATTTAGGTAGATTATTTCCAGTAACTGATTGATCTTTATGAAAAACTTTTAAAAATTGTATAACAATCGTTTGTTCATAACCACCATCAAATCCAGGAATCCAACCAAGTGTTAATTTATCCCATGTAATTTCTATTACTTCAATGTTTTTTGGAGTTTCAGGTGTACCTATATTGTAGTTTATATATAATAAAGAATAGAGAAAGATTGTATTTAATTTAAACAAGATGTTATTAGGAAATGGACTGGTATCAAATATATTTACATTCATTTACTATGATAGGTCTTTGTTGCAAATCTCGCAAGGTAAGATCGTGGATGTGCACTACTGAAGAGTCCTACAGTAGGACAAAACGACTGTCCAGTGCTTCCATGTTTTTTATGGTGATTTAGTTTCAATTTGTTCATCATCTCAACTATTAAAAGTACTATAATGTCCACAAAACTCCTACTGATGTTAATCAACATTTTCTCACTAGTGACGATTTCCAAGTGGTATTTCCTGGAGTTCCTGTGAGAAGCAGTGATCAATTGAGTTGTGAGATAGTAACTTACTAAAGACAATGATAAATTTGTCACTCAAATTCGTGGATTAGTTGAAGTTAGACATTAACACCATTGGATACTGACCGACTCATTGGTCTAATGGTCAATCGCTAGCGCGTGAAGCCCACATGTCCTCGGTTCGAATCTCACGAAGTGGGATCGTAGATGTTCACTGACACTGATGATTCCCATCGCTTCTAGGTTTCCCATGTTGGTCTAGTTTCATTTGACTCATCATCTCAACTATAAAAATTACTATAATATCTAAAAAAAAAACCTTCGGATATAAATCATCTTCACCTGAATAGTTCAATTACGTTTAATCTGAAAACAGCTACTCTTATAATAAAGCTTTAATAAATAAACACTTTGATTACAATAGTATTTAAGGACATAATGACTAGATCAAATTAAAGAATAGTAGATATTGTTTTAATCTAATTTAAGTGGGGATTATCTTTACAACTCTTCATTAAAATCACTTCCTTTTATAATCACCTCATTCATCTCAAGTTGAATTCATAATTATATACAGAGATTGTATTAGAGATTGTTGAGTTACAATATGAGATTATGAACTGATTAATGTTAGATCAGCATTTAAAAGCAATGGATAGACGTCTAACATTGATCGGTATATGATCTTAATCCAAACTAAACCATCTTCACAACCATATATTGATAATTATCATACGTTGACTAGTGAATAGTTGTGAGAAGTAAATCTCGAAATGTTAATGGGAATTTATGACTAGTGGAGTTTAATCCGTTTTGGGTGTGAGACGTTTACTCACCGAAAAAAATAAAAGATGGTGGTGAAATATCATGGATTGACTAAACTTAGACATTACGATAATCGGATGTCGGCTAAGTAGTTTAGATGTTAAGGGTTCGCACGTGAAACTGAAGGTTCTGGGTTTGAATCTCATGTGCCTGATCATCAATGCGCACTGTTAAGGAGTTCCATAGTAGCAAGAAACGGCCATCAAGTGTCCCCAGATTTTCAAAGGTGATCTAACATTGATCACTTGATGATCTGTTTTTCAAAGTTGATTAATAGGTAAGCGTTCACTAAGCAAGATAAACCATCGTTTGAGAAAATGTTAGAGAAGAAAAACATTTTGAATAAAGTTAAACGTTTACTGATCAATCAATTCATACAGTCTATATGATTATGTCATTAATGAATATAAGGCTTCGAATGACATATTGGGATACAAGTCGAATGAACTGGGGGGAATATAGTACCGCCTATGACCAGTTTATTGAAGACATATAGGTTTGCAAATCTCTCACCATTACTATTCTTTTCTCCCAATCCATGTCGTCCCATGATATCTTCATATCCGGTGTTATCCATTCCAACCTTATTGAATAAACTAAGACAATGTTTTCATAGTGAGTCTAATAATTTATGAAAGACCATTGGGCAACGCTTAAATGACCTAAGAATGTTCACCTATTTACTATAGTCAAGTGAGGGTTATAGATTAATGGGAAGAATTAAGTTTACAAATCACCATTGAACGTTAGAAATAGTATCATTAATCATGTAGAAATCAGTCATCTAATTTCTAATTTTCCAAATATGAATGTAAGTTTGGTTATGTTTGCATAGAAATAACAAGTGGAAAGTAGAAACGGATAAGATATGAATATATATACCCTTATTTTAGTATTTGATGCTTGATTTTAGTAAAAGATCGATAGCATTTGATCTGCACTAGTAATAAGGATTAGACACGAATGACATTGGTCACCACCCAGTGATCAGTCAATTGTGATTACATCTCAGTCTTATAGGAGGTCGGTCGCGGCCCGGATAGCTCAGTGGTAACGTTTCTGACTGTGAAGCTGGGTGACACGGGATCGATTCCGTCAGGGAGCACCAGTTCTCTCAAAAAACACAGGTACACCTTACTGACGAGTGCCTAGTAGCACGAAACCCGGGTGAAGGTCTTCCTGTCGACTACGTCCAACCACCATTTAATCTCAACATAGTGCCCTCAATGTCGAGTCACCTAGACTGGTGGCTACATTGCAACATGATCGATAGCATTTGATCTGCATTAATAATAAGGACTAGACACGCATGAAATTGTTCACTACCCAGTGAAAAGATCATTTAATTTAGCCGGTATATTATGATTAACTCCGCCTGGAGCTTTTCTAGGGCTACTGCTGATCCCGAAACCGGATGAAAAAGGAGGGTTTGGCATGGAGTTAGCGATCCCATCCCGTAGAAAACTAACTTGCTAAAAAACGCTAACCAGAAAAAAATTATTCAAAACATTTAAACTCTGCCCTTGGAGTTAGAAGGTATTCATTTATAAGAGTTATGACACCTCATGATGAAAGGCGAATTCCTTCGGAAGCCAAGAGGCTGATGCTCTTACTGACAACCAGATCAACCATTTATTTAGATGCATGGAATGCTAGTACAATGTGGTGGATCGAGAGAGTTTTCCAAAAATCATCTCAGACTTCATTGTTCTTTTTTTGTTTCCTCATCAATCCTTCTCTGTTCTCCTTCTCTTCCCTTCGATCTTCTTAACCTTCTGCTACCTGGCATTTCACTTTCAACTGATGACACATACTCCATATTTCATTTCGTTTCATATATAATACATTAATTCTTGAAGTATTGTATACTATTTGCTGTTATAACTCTTTAATAAAGCCGTTCGTTGTAGAAATGCTCATCATTATTCCTTAATCTAAAAAAATTATATTCCAAACGGAAACTTGTATGTATCGTTGTCTTTTTATCAATATTCAATGGGGGACTAGTTTAATGTGTACGCTTTACAGATTGATATCAGTCAATGTATCCATGAAAATGTTTTCATTGAAATTAGCGTGTATATTCCTCATACAAGGAAGAAACAATTGCAAAGATTCCTCTGGATTCTTGAAGAGCAAATATGTCCTCAAAAATATACTTCGGGTTGATAGTGTTGATTACATTAGTGAAAATCACAAATAGATAATCTAATGACACAGATCATTGTTAAGTGGCATATATAAACTACTGTATTACAAATACATTTTATTTTATATATCCACAGGTTGATTGTAATCTTTGGCTCTGATATTGATGTACTTCCATTTACATTTTTATCCATGTTGTTTTCAGTCTAATGTTACTGAATGGTTGTCTCTGAAAACCATGTTGAAGTTAGAGCCCCCATTTGATCTCATTCCAACCGTCCTCCAAAGCAGTTTTCTCTTCTTTCAGTAGATCTTGTAAGGCTTATAACGTGTTGTTGAGAGTTATCTTGAATTCATTGAGTTTGTCAGTTTGTTGAAGGAGGGCTTTTTGAACCATTGTAATGTTATTTCTCCAGTTGTGCAGTACATCTCTAGCTTCAGTATCATCTTGGCCACAACCAGGTGGTGATCTGGATCTATGTTAGCTCCTCTTCTGCTTTTCTCGCCTTCCATTGACCTTCTAAATACTTAAGTGATGTGAATATGATCTATCTGGGTTTTTTTACTGTGGTCCAGTGAGACCCGTGCAGATTTGTGTATGTGTTTGTGTGAGAAAATTGTGCCACCTATTACCAATTTGTTGAATGCACATAAATTTTTAGATTTGTCACCATTTTCATTCCTTTCTCCCAGTTTGTACATTTCGTCCTATGATATCTTCATATACGGTGTCGTCCATTTCGATTTTGGCGTTCAGATCACCCATCACGATATTCAGGTCCTTTTCTGAGCAGTTCGCTATGATCGATTGGAGCCTCACATAAACCTGACATTTATCATTATCTTTGATATCATTGAAGGGTGCATACCACAGAATAACATTTATTGTAATCCCTTCCCTTTTTGTTTTGAAGGATGCTTTGATGATCCTGGATACATTAGATTCCATCGTATATGTACTTTTGGCACATCTTTGGACAGCATTAGTGCAGCTTCCTGTGTGTTCAATGTAGTTTTGTTTTTCATGACCGGAGTACAACATAAACTTCAAATGCAACCTTTTCTGTCAAGCTCTTGTTTATTGGGTTTCACTAATATAAGTGAGAATTAAAACCAAAGTGTACCTTATAATGGAATGAGTTTAAACCGTGGAAAACCTAGAGGCACTGAACAACCATGTGGAGTCATGATCCTGCACACGGGATTCTAACCAGGGACCTATTAATCTCATGCGTGAACATTTACACTGTATACAACTTTATGTCTAACTTTAACCAATCCCCAATATTCTGACACCGTGAATGTACACTGTTGTAAAGTACCATCCTCAACTGAGATGGCCATCTATTGCTTGTAGGTTTTATATGATGGTCTAGTTTGAATTAACTCATGAATTCAACTATTAAATTACTATAATCTCCAGAAAAAACTATCTTCTGATAATAATCATTATGTACTGACTAGTAAGTTGTTTCAAGATGTAGTTCTTAAAGGTCTAGTTAAACATATTTGACCAATAAAATTCAATCAGATCGATTATGAGATCATAATTCACTAAAAAACAATAGTAGACCAACATACAATTTCATAAATCAATCAAACTGGATGTTTTGATCGTGGAGTTTTCATCAACTTCATGATATCATTCAGAAAAAAACGATGAAAGTATAGCAACTCACGTTCAATTGAGTTTGCCCTCATCTAATTCGTTTAAGCCCTTTTGTTAATCTATTAAACGGACAAGGTTATCTGTACTTTAACAACTTATTCTATTTTTGTTATTGTTATGCTTGTATGAATAAGTATGCTTGAACATTGTTGACTGCCCACGAATATATTCATCCCACTAACCTTATTATTATTCGCTTAATCGATTCGATAGTCCATTCACTTTTCTATATATATACATGTATATTTAACACTCTACACATTTTCCACACATTCCCATACATTCTCACACAATCACGGTTTGCTGACTCATTCGCCTCTCTGCTCTGTGGTTTGAGTTGCCTGCTAATAAAACTGTAATAGCTGCTTCTCTTTGCCTTCTGATTTCAACTACCGTTGGGGTTTATACGATAACGGTTACGAGGGTGATTGGTCAACGAAGCACAGCCACTACAAAAGCTCTACGACTAAATCATCCAGCTCAGAGAATAAAATTCCATCATTAAAATCATCTATCTGAGCTTTAAAAACAAAAAAAAAAATAAAAAACCATCTTCTCCACCATCTGATCATTAAAGAATAGTTCACTTACTATAATTTTGTAATAATATAATACATTGTTGACAACCTTCATTATTTATAATAGAAGATAAATAAACACCATATTTAATCATAGAATTTAATTGATTCATAATTAATTGAGTTAAATATAATGATGAATCATCATAGATCATATTCATAGTAACATAATAATTTTTTAAAATTGTTTTCACTTTATTTCCTGTTAATAATTTAATAAAAAACTGTTGAGTTTTATTTATATATTGATTATATTTATGCATAGCAACTAAATGTAATTGATCATTAGGTATTTGTTGATGACATAATAATGATTTGATAGATTGATTTTTATAAATTTGATTTAAATATATATTAAATGTTTCCATAGTTATATAATACCATCTAATTTGATTAGGGGGTGGATTAGCTTTAAAAAAACATGTGAATTTATTTGTATAATTTGTTAATATTGATTTTTTTTTAATGATTGTTGAATTGATTAAATGTTGATTTAATTGTTGTAATGATTGTTGATATGGTATTATTTGTTTTATAATAGATTGATGTAATAGAATAGGTGGATCTAAAGATTTAAATGTAAAAGAAAAAAAGAAATACAATTAGGGGGGTTTTATAAGAAGTTTTGTGGATTATGAGTTCATTGAAGCTAGATTGATTGATGATAATAATAGATGTATAGTTTAATTTTGTAGATGAATGAACACCATTGGATGCTAGTTAGCTCAATGATCTAGTGGTTAATCGATCACGTATGAGACTGATAGATACTGGATTCGAATCTCATGAGTCAGGATCGTGGATGAACAGTATTGAAGAGTCCCATAATAGGACAAAATGGCCATCTAGTGCTATCAAGTTTTCTATGGTGGTCTAACTTCAATTGACTCATGATCTCAACTATTGAAACTAGACGTTTGTTTGTAAATGAAAGAAGTAAAGAAAACGATAATATGAGTCATTTGAAGCTAGACCACCATGGAAAACTTGGAAGCACTGAACGGCCGTTTCGTCCTATTATGGGACTCCTCAGCAGTGCCGGCTCAGTGGTCTAGTGGTTAGGCACTCGCGCGCAAAACCAGTAGGTCCTCGGTTCGAATCCCACGAGGTGGGGTCGTGCATACACACTGCCACTGAGGAGTCCCACAATCGGGCGAAACGGATGTCTAGTACTTCCAGGTTTTCCATGGTGATCTAGCTTTAACTAACTCATGATCTAACCATTGAAATTACTACAATCTCCACAAAACCCCTTCTGATAATAAAACGATATTACGCAATGTAAATGGACTATCATATGTATTTTAAAACAAAATGATTGAAAAATGAACATTGATATGTTTATTACGATGAGAAAATAAATTATATACTGAATACAACTTCAAAAGTTATGTTTGTTTAAAGGTGTAGTAGCTTAGCTTCCTTAACCAATCACCTTGATAACCATTATTATATAATTCCCCAACGGTTTTAGAAATCAGTTGGCAATAAGACACGGCGACTACACAAATCCTAAATCTACAATCATGTCGAGCGAATTCGATGCAGAATGGTGAATGCATACTTAAGCGAGAGAATACAAAAGCATATTTATGGTCAAGTCGAATAAAGCGCAGCTATATACATAGGGAACAGAATGATTCATCGAAGTATAATTTAAGCGATTAACATTTTAGCTAAACAGAGAGTTGTATGTAGACTGTCATTTGATCAATCCTACACATTTATACAGACAAGATAGCGTTCATAATGGTACTGTTACTGTTACTATTAATAAACGTCCTTATTTATAGACGACCTTTAAGCGACACTAGACTGACCTTGAAAGTATCCACTCTAATAACTAGGACTAAATGAATGTTATAAACCTCTGTGTGTGTGTGTGTGTGTGTGTGTGTGTGTGTGAAATTACAATTATGATTTACAAATTGATCATTACAGTTAGAAATTAGATTTAAGGTTTACATTACGAACTGATATGAACTATAATACCAAATTTAAATCAATTAGTCCCTTCTATGTGATGATAGATTAGCGCAATACATTTCGAACAATCTGATCACACATATTACATACTTGTTAAGAGCATTTATATATATAAAAATAAAAGGTCAACTAGACTGGAAATGAGGTAAGAGGAGATAAGGATAATAATAATGAGTAATAATAATAATAATAATAATAATAATAATAATAATCTGAACTTATTATCCAGAGTGATTAGGTTTTGAATTGTGTTCAAATTATTATTTTTATGATTGAGATCATGAACCGATTGATGTTAGATCACCATTGAAAACCTGGAACCACTGGACTACTCAACAGTGCGCATCTACGATCCCGCTGGCAGGATTCGAACCCAAGGCCTTTAGTCTCGCGCGCAAATGCTTAACCTACTGAATCACTGAGCTGGACGGCATCCAACGGTGTTAATGTCTAACCTCAACCAACCCACGAAGTTTTGTGACCATCTTCCATTGTACTGAGGTAGACACCTGTTTCTACGCAAAACGGATTAGCTCCACTGGTCACGACTTCTCACCAGAACTCCGAGAATTTTCTCACGACGCTAGTCACTAGTGAGCACATTGTAATCATCAATTTAAGTGTTGCGGTGATTGTCAAGTTTTTGATTGAGATCAATGATTATTATTACTCTTATTATTATTATCCTTATGATATGAAAAGGATGAATAAGAACTGGAAAGAGCTGGAAAGGATTGCCTAGGACAGGGTTGAATGGAGAATGCTGGTGAGTGGCCTATGCTCCTTCACGAGGAGTAACAGGCGTAAGTAAGTAAGTTATCTCCTCTTACCTCAGTTCCAGTCTAGTTGACCCATTATTTTTATATATATAAATGCTCTTAACAAGTATGTAATGTGGGTGATCAGATTGTTCGAAATGTATTGCGCTAATCTATCATTATATAGTGCTGATTATCTTCGTCTTCTTATAATACCAAAACATAAATGAATAAGTGAATTTCGCGCCATATTTTCTTATATCTGATTGGTTTGTTCATAAATTATAATCTTACCAATCTTAGATATGATAAACATACTCAATCTATTTATTTATATACATACTCTATATGAGTCCTAAAAAGGAAAGTTAAAGAAACTATTTGACATTTAGATAAATTATTAATCAATCGATTTCTTTTTTCTTTTTTTTCTTTTTTTTTTTTTTCTGTTTATAATCTAAGAGTCATTTAGTTGCTAAATGGACTTAAGTTTGTTTCCTTTTTCTTTATTTATATTCTTGATATTAATGATTAATGAATAGATTAAATACAAAATAATTTAAACCATAGTTACTATTGATGAATCAATAAAAATATCTACTTTTAAAGGTAAATTGTTAATGTACTCTTAAGTGGCATTATGATTAAGTTTAATAAAAGAAGAAATAAGAGAGAATAATATAGAGAAAAAGAAGCAGATATGAATAGGATGTATAACAATTGGAAAGATCTGGAAAAGATTGCTTAGGATAAGGTTGGATAGAGAATACTGGTGAGCAGTTTATGCTCCTTCACGAACAGTAACAGGCGTAAGTAAGTAAGTAGAGAATAATATAAATGAAATCATTAAAAGATATAAAGAATAATAGATGATATTAGTATGCTACTAATATCGATAGATATAAGTAGTATGTATCATTAATAGAAAGTGAAATAACTGAAAGTAGAAAGTTAAGACGATTGAAGAAAAGAGAATAAGAACAGTGAATGATTTGTGGAGAAATGAAAGAACAATGAAGTTTAAGACAATTTTGTAAATAAAGTATTTACTGTATGATTCTCAGATTTTACTAAGCGATTCTATAACTATTTGTATCCACATACATTTAGTTGTCCCTATTAGTGTTCATTTTCACTATAATATATCTGAATACAAATTCTTGTGTTTGATCAATCTTAGAAAACTGTAAGTTTATTCAAAGAAATGATTGCATAAGCAATTAGCTATCAAGACTCAGTAGCTAAGTGGATAACGCGATAGCGTTAGAGGCGAATGGTACTGGGTTCGAATCCCAGAGTGAACATCAACTCTGAGATGCAAGTACATTTAGCTGAGGAGTCCCAAATAGGATTCCACTGTTCAGGGACAATATTAACTATGGGTTCTTAGAATTGATTGTACCTAAAATTATAAGTCCAAATGTAATAAACTTAAACTTTTCACTTCTATAGAAATACATACACGAACAAGAAAAGAAAAGCCAAAGAAACAAAATTTTATGAAAGTTTGGAAAAAAAAATTTTAAATTTCCTCTAAATTGCTCGGTTACTGTTATTTACTTATTTACTATTTATTTGAACATAGTGTAGGAAACAGAAAGGTAAAACTAGAAATAATTCTTTCAGTTAAAGAAGTTACGGTCACTTTTTATGAAGAAAGTAAAAGAAGGATACAGTATGATCTCCACTAGCTTCTATTCTGAGCCATATCTGATAACGTCGCTAGCCACTGTGTCACACCATCTCTCGGACCCCAGCCAGGGAGTTGTGAAGATCTAATAGAAACCAGTCATGTGCACCTTTCTTTCGTACCACAACATGATGTCATACACTGACCACCTCTCCGCTTTTTCCAACCAGTCCCAGAGTCGGCAAATAATGCACGACAAGTAATTCTCTGGGACGACATTCATAGAGGATGTCTAAGCTACTGAAGTCGATGTTTCAAGATGGTGACACCAATTTCATTATCGTCTCTGTGCCCGAACACACGATGCCGAACCTCTGCATTACTAACATGATGTTGTCACTGAATGTCAGCAATCCTTCAGAGACAACGATGATCAAACACAGAGAGTCGTCTAACATCCTCAACTCGGAGAGGCCAGGTTTCACAAGCATAAAGCAAAACTGCTCTCACTGATGCGTTGTAGATCTGACCTTTTACAGCTAGACTAATATCACGAAAGCGCCAAAGATGACCCGGATTGGCATAACCCGCTCTGGCTTTCACTATACCTGGATCGATCTCATCACTCACACCACCACCAGCACTTATGCAGCTACCTAGATACACGAACTTCTAGACTACTTCTATCTGCTCACCATCCAGAGTGAGTACAGGATTAGAATCCTGCCAATCTTGTAAAAGTACTTTGCACTTAGAAGGTGTGAAGCATATATCAAACGTACGGACATTAATTGCCTACTGATTAAGTGCGGATTGCATGGCTTGAACATTGTCACACAGTAAGACAATATCATCCGCATACTCAAGTTCAAGAAGTCTTTCTCCAGACAACAGATCCACACCGCTATCACTTACATCCATCAGAGCTGTTTCCAGAATGTTATCGATGGCTCGATTACTGTAACCAGACAAAGTAGAAAACAATTATTCAATCAATTTTCTACAGATCACGTAACATACATTAAATTCAGATGAATTCATTCTTGATTATATTCAGTGGATAAATGCACATGTGATGATAATTCAATCCCAAGAAATCAACTTAGACTTGACCGTTTATGGAAGAAGAAGAAGAAGCAAAACAAATCTAATCTTGTTTTACAAAACATTGAATAAACTATCTTTTACATTGGTTGAAGCAATTCAATATGCAGCAACTCCTAGTTACAGTATCCGTAACTCTCTGTCATTAGTGAGGTGATAACCATTTTAAATTATCTTTTTTTGGATTATGGAATGATTTACTACAGTCTGTTCTTGAGATAAAGTCACTTTTAACCTTTTGTTCACTGGATCGATGCTTATTGTTCCTCTGGAAATCCCGTAAATGAACTTACTTCTGTTAGTATATCACATTCCACAAGTGAGATTAATGGTTTTCATTAATCAGTCCACCAATTGATCCTCCCTACCTGTTAATAATTTACACTCACATCGACTCTGATAACCTTAACTGAATTGAATGATATCTAACTCAAAGATTACGCAATGAAATAACCTGACACATTGATTATAGTTGACCTGACTGGATCTGTCATAGTATGTATCACTTCAGTTGTTCTGTACTCTCAGTTTCTATTTTATTTTCTCTAATTGTAGACGATCCGTTATGTCATGGGAAATGATCTATGATACACCGTTCATACATCAATAGAATATCCATTTAAAAAAGAATGGAAGAGTTCTCGGTCGGTAATTTGCATTGTTGTAATACATGTGCAAAAGGTACAATTTGAACAATTTTTTTGAGTTAAGAACACTTCAAGCGACTTAATATCACATATCTGTCCTTTGAAGTTCATGGTCCTCAAATGCCCTGATACGGCCGAGGGTGAGGAGAGTCAGCTGTCTATCTCAAAATGCTCTTACATGGTCACGCGTATACAGTCACTACCACAGAAGTCCTACTCACCGCCTTTTCAAGGCATTGCTGTTGTTTACGAAATCGAGAGGACGAAAAGCGAATGTATGGCGTTTTACCCGGGTCGGTGTATATGGAGAATCCACCTATGGGAGTTGTAAAACCAATGGTGCACATGAAATACAGGATTCTAAGGGAATAAATGGCGTATGTACCAATTGTTTGACATTAACACCATTAGATGCCGGCCAGCTCAGTGGTCTAGTTGGTTAAGCGCCTGACGCCGAGACTGTAAGGTTCTGGTTTCGAATCTCGCGAGGGGCGGGATCGTGGATGCGCAATGCTGAGGAGTCCCACACTAGGACGAAACGGCCGTGTAGTGCTTCCAGATTTTCCATGGTGATCTAGCTTCAATGGACTCATGATTTCAACCAGTGAAATCATCTTTCTCTACAGAATTAACGTGATAACAATTAAAGATCATATATTATTACAATATTATTTCAGATTAGTATGATCGTCTTTACTAGCATGTATATCCTTAACTGGGTAAGGGATAGAACACTTTTAGTCTTCATATTAAACACTATTTGTCAAGTATTCAGTTGACAACAAATTCTTCTTATATTTCTAAATTTCAATCAATTCGTATTACATCACAACAATAGAATATTATTAAGATCTATATAATTGAGAGTATGAATCAATTGATGCTAGACCACTATGGAAAACCTGGAAACACTGGATAGCCATTTCGTCCTATTGTGGGACTCCTCAGTCACAATGAGCATCCATAATCCCTCTTTGTAAGATTCAAATTCATATAGTTATTGATAATTCCAATTAGTTTTAGACATCTAAGAAATTTATTCTTAGAAACTAAACTTTACAAATTAAACAAGTGGTCATGGAAACATAAAATTAACAGAATAATATATTGAACTTAGAAACACACACACACACACACACACACACTTTATAGCTGTTGTTAATAAAGAAAACATGTTTTACATACATTTTAAAATTATATGTACCGGGTTTGAATATTCATAACCGAAATTATTGATTGCTTGACATGTATAACTACCTTCATTCATAATATAAAATGATTGACATTTAATTTGTATATTATTAAATGTATCATTATAACCCCAGATTAATTCACTTGTTGTTTCCCATGTATATGAACCAGTTTCATATTCAATACATTTAACAGTAGTTAAAATTTTTCTCCATGAACAATGAATCTGAAGAAATAAAAACACAATCAAATAAGTAATATAAGAAGTTTTTGTAATGAAATGGTTGAATCATTAGGCAACTAACTCGATCTAGTATAGGACTCCTTATTAGTGAGCATCCGCGACATCACCTCATGAGATTTGAACCTATCAGTGTCGTAGGCGAACGCTTGACATTTAAACCACTGAGCTGGCATCCAGTGGTGTTAATGTCTAACTTCAACCAATTCACGAAATTACGTTCCGTCTATCATTATCTTCAAAGAGTTAAAATCATACGACAGACCTGGTTGAACTCCACTGATCACGGTTTCTTACTAGAACTCCAGGAAATACTTCTAGAATCCAGGCACTAGTGAACACATGATGATTATCATCAAAAGAGTGATTTTGTGGGGATTTTCGTAATTTAATCACAAAATTAATGTGTTTGTAATGTCCTAATTCATAGATAATATTGAGTTTTCTGATGTTTCTTAACTAAACATCAGTTGGTTCTTTGGAAATTATGATAAACCTTGGTAATGATAACTATAAACTTATATTTCAAGTGATCGTTCGAACAAAATAAACATTTCCAGGATAAAAGAACGTTTCGAAGACACCTATGATCAAATACTAGTAACCTACAAATATCCTCTAGTCTTATCGGCCATGTTTCACTGTCATAAAGTAGAACGAAACGAACTGCTGCTCAGTAAATACATCCTTCGGTCGGGGAATTCTCAACATAGAGTATCTCAACACGTTTCTTTATCTATCCTGATGATAAATATTGAGTGATCACCTCTAAGATGTTAGCAGTTTAGGAAGTGACATCTGATTAATGTATATTCTTTTCGATGCATATTAACAGCAACCATGATATCTCGGATTGAGCTCTTTTCTAACTTGCACAACGAAATGTAGTACACTTTTCACAAGTTAACCTGAATAGATTATGTGATTAATAGCCATAATGACATATTCAGACAAACAAAATTAGATTACTAGTTAAAACATCTAGATGGCAGGGGCAAGTATCCCAGATGTTCAAGCAAGCTGTAAAATCACTGAATGTTCAACAGATCGTCGATCGTTGTTGTGGTCAAATACAACCAACGTGCATCAGTTAATCGTATGCTATTGACTGAAGTATGAGGTAGTCGTTTCTCTATCTTCTCAGCATTCATTCTTTCTAATACATTTCTATGATAACATTGTTTGTGTTATACGGTCTCCAAAGCAACCATAGTACATTGATATGTCAAAGGGGTAATTCACGTTAGATGCTGACCGTGAGATGTGACTTGGAAGTTAGCTGGTTCATCATACTATCCCCGTCTAACTCGAGTAGAGCTTCAATCATTCGACATAAATCATCTATGTTAGTGATCTATCCTGTGATTATTATATTTATATCACCAAAATACAGAATCAACTATGTGAATTGATCAAAAAACAAAACATTCATTCATATGAACTTACATCATTTGAGGTTCTTAACGTAACAGAATTCATCGTAGTTGATGTTGTATGAATAATAGAATTATCATGAAACCAATTAATTTGTGGTGCAGGTTTACCATGAGCAACACAACGAAGATATGGTGTAGGCATTGAATTAAATGATGGATTTAATATATTATCAATATTTGGTTCTTCAATTATTTGTGGTTCTTCTAAACAATAGAATGAAAAGAATAATCAACTACTATAGTAATAAGTTTAACATGAATTGATATACGGTTACGTACAATACTTATCTACAATCCAATATTGATGGATTGTTTCACATGTTAATGATTATCTAATCATTGTAACTCAGTGAGTGGTGTGTTTTGCTGTATGGAGAGAAATGCTGCAAGTTCACACTTCTATTTAAACATCTACGATTGACGGATTCAGACTCGGATAAAAAAAATATTCATTCCATGGTGTGTGTGTGTTACTTATATCCACATAAGTAGTATCCAAAACTAGTCAAGAATAGAATGATTGGCAGCAAAAAGTCGAGAATATCGAGGAGTAAGGAAAGAGAACAGATAGTAATGAGTATGGAAATACAAGAACAATAAAGTCTTAGACGATTGATTGATATTTACAAAGGAATATCTAAGTTTGAGACAATTGATTAGTATTTTGCAAATGAAGTATTTACTGTATTGGTCTTAGATTTTACTAAGATGTTCTATATCCCAATCATAAATAAGATATGAATTCTGGGAACCTATTTCGCTAATATCAGTAGTATATTGTATTAATAATCTGTAATATAGTTCACTTTCTTGTAGTATGTTTTTAAGGAATGAACTAAATCAAATATTATCTATGAAGATAGAATTATTTTGCAAGACAACATGTAATAAACATCAATCAAGATCGAACATAACTGTTACCATAAATGTAACTAAGTCACTGAATAACGATAGAATCATTGAAAATTAGGAAGTGATAAAAGTCTTAAATGTGAACCAATCGATGTCAAATCATCACTTACTTACTTACGCCTGTTATTCCCAATGGAGCATAGGCCGCCGACCATCATTCTCCAACCGACCCACTTTGTCCTAGGCCTTATTTTCTAGTCCCATCCAATTCTTGTTCATTTTTCTCATATCTATCTCCATTTCTCAGAGTAATGTGTTGTTTGGTCTTCCTCTCCTCCTCCGACCTTGAGGATTCCATGTGAGGGCTTGTCTTGTGACGCAGTTCGGTGCTTTCCTCAATGTGTGTCCTATCCACTTCCATCGCTTCTTCCTGATTTCTTCCTCCACTGGGATCTGATTTGTTCTCTCCCACAGTAGGTTGTTGCTAATAGTGTCCGGCCAACGGATCTGAAGTATTCTCCGTAGACAACTGTTAATAAACACTTGTACCTTTTGGATAATGGATTTCGTAGTTTTCCAGGTTTCCGCTCCATACAGTAGAACTGTCTTCAACTTTGTATTGAAAATTCTGACTTTGGTGTTGGTTGCTAATTGTTTTGAGTTCCAGATATTCTTCAGTTGTAAATATGCTGCTCTTGCTTTGCCAATCTGTGCCTTCACATCTGCATCAGATCCACCGTGTTCATCGATGATACTGCCCAAATATGTAAAGGCTTTTACATCTTCCAAAGCTTCTCCGTCAATTGTGATTGGATTGGTGCATGCTGTGTTGTATCGAAGAATCTTACTTTTCCCTTTGTGTATATTGAGACCTATTGCTGCTGAAGCTGCAGCTACACTGGTTGTCTTCTCCTGCATTTGTTGTTGCGTATGTGATAGAATAGCCAGATCATCTTCGAAGTCAAGATCATCCAATTGCATCCTAGCTGTCCACTGTATCCCGTGCATCCCTTCAGATATCGACGTCTTCACCAGGAGAATCATTATGAAGACAATATTAGGCTAATAAATTTTGCATAAAACCCTTGGTGATGAAGAGTTATCTCAGGCAAGGAGGTAATAGCTATCAAATGTTTTCTTGATTCTCATTTGTTGACCAACTAATGTCAGTCTGTGTTAAAAACAATAGCATTGAGAAATGGAGACAGATATGAGAGGAGAATGAACTAGAAATGAAAGGTTCAGACCAGAATGGATTTGAGAATACTGGTCGTCAGTCAACTCTCTACTGGGAGTAACAGGCGTAAGGAAGTAAGGAAATGACAAATTCCTTATCGTATTACTATGTTCAGCTCATCAAACATACTTTGTAAAGTAAATATATTAACCATATGTCATGGAATGATTAATGCAACTATATAATGTATTACCAATATGCTTACCTTGTACTGTAATACTAACTGGATCACTTATTGCATTACCATTATCATTTTGTACTAGACAATAATATAAACCATCAACAAATGTATCCGTTAAATTAATCAATAATTGATCTTCATATTCTGATAATTTTGGTTTAAATGGTATTGGAGTAATTAAATCTTTTGATTTTATTGTTTTACAAGAATTTGGACTCCATAACCATTCAATAGAAGGAATTGGAAGTCCAGGGACTATAAGAAATAGGTTAAAAGACAAATATAAATATACATATATATATCTTGTCTCGTTCATTGAATATTCAGGGTACTTTCAGTACTGTATGTGTAATTATTACCTTGTTCTATACATTACTGACTCACTTACTTACTCCTGTTACTCGTCGTCGAGGAGCATAGGTCGTTCACTGACACTCTCTATCCTAAAAGATCATTTCGAGTTGTTTGAAATTGTTGTTTATCCTTATCATGTCTGATTATAATTACCGACATAGTGTATTATTTGTCGTTCTTCTTTTCTGTTTCCATTTAAAGACTCCATGTTGAGAGTAGGCTCATGATTTAGTTGGATGATTTCCGTAGTGCACATTCCATTAACTCCCAAATTCTGTTTTTCAATGTCTTCTTCTTTTGAAAGCTGGTTTGTTTTGTTTTTTTTTCATAGTAGGTTGTTGTTGTTGATGATGATATCCGATCAACGGTCATTCAATATCTTGTGTAGAAAATTGTTTATAACTACTTGTACACTTTTGATGACAGCTATAGTACTTTTTCAAGTTTTAGATCTGTACAGTAGGATGATTTTGAAGTTTGTACTGAAGATTGTGACTTTGATATTACTTGATAGTTGTTTTGTGTTCCATATGTTCTATAATTGTAGGAATACGGTCATTGCGTTGACAATCCTCACCGGTACATTTGCATCAGAACATCCTTGTTCATCCATGATTCTGACCAGGTACGTGAAAGTCTTCAAACCTTACAGAGCTTCTCCATCACGTGTGATTGAGTTGCTGTTTTCCGTGTTGCATTTGAAGATCTTGCCATTGTGTTATCGAACATATAGTACAGCGTCCGATTCGCAGAATGTCCTACTTTCAACGGCATATGACGAAACTATGTTTTGTAAAATGTTCATAAAAAAATATAATAATAGATTGACTGATGTTAGACAACCTTTGAAAACCTGGAATCACTAGACGGCCATTTCATCCTATTATGGGACTCTTCAGTATCAGTGCGCACGGGATTCGAACCCAGAGCCTTCAGTCTCGCATGCAAACGTTAAACTTTAGACCGCTGTCTCAGTATCCAACGATGTTAATATCTAACTTCAAATAATCCACGAAATTTTGTGACCATCTTCCATTGTCTGACATAGATACTTGTCCCTACCTGATGTGGCTAAGCTCCACTGACCACGACATCTCATTAGAACTCCGAGAATTCCCTCAGGAAACTAGTCACTATGGAGTAATTCTCAATATGAGGTTGTGATGATTGTTATGTTTTTGATTGAGATCATGAATCAATTGATGTTAGATAACCATTGAAAACAATTTAGGTGATGAGTTATATCTTTAAAATGTCAAACAAGTATATCTTTAATGAAACAAACAGTTTAGTTATATACAAAATTTTCATAACTTACGTTTAGTATTCAGATTACATTTTAATATTACAGTTATGTTTTCATCAGTTTGCAAATTTGAAATTTTGTGGATTGTTGGTTTACCAGGTGAATCTACGTTAATGAAGAAAAAAAGAAAAGTAACATACTATAAGTTAGATTATTTTTTTAATCAAAATCTAGTAGCTAAGTAAACAATGTGATGATGTTTGAAGTGACAAGTACTGGGTTCGAGTTCTGTAGAGAATATGAACTTTGAAATGTCGGTATGTCTAGCTGACAAGTTTTAAATAGAACGAAACGTGCTTTCTGCATTCCACTACTAGGCCAGTATCAATCTTTTCAAGATGTTCATTATCTGGGACAATACAGTTTTTTTAAACTGTTAGTTCACTGAAAGAATTCGTTTACATAGTCTAAATGAGTTCACATCACTCAAGTTTCCATTATTTGAATGTTTCATAGTGGTGCAATATTCAGAAACAGACAAATACGAATGATAAAAGCTCAATAAACAGTCGATCTACATATCTATCCCATAGTAGGTAAGTATCAGCACTGATAGTTTAATAATAATAAATTTGACTTTGACAATAAGTAATGAAGGGTTAAATCTTCATCAGATACATTAAAACTATTCAGATTATGAACAGATCTGAATGATGAATACTAATTTGTAACAAGCTAAGATAAAGGTACCCACCGAAATCGTGACCAGTGGAGCTAATCCGTGTCGGGTAGAGACAGGTATCTACCTCAGTACGATGGAAGATGGTCGCGCAATTTCGTGGATTGGTTGATGTTAGACACTAACACCATTGGATGCTGGCTCAGTGGTCGAGTATGTTAAGCGTTCGCGCGCGAGACTGAAGGCCCTGGGTTCGAATACCGCGCGCGGGATCGTGGATGCGCACTGCTGAGGAGTCCCATACTAGGACGAAACGGCCGTCCAGTGCTTCCAGGTTTCCAACGGTGGTCTAACATCAGTCGATTCATGATCTCAATCAAAAGTTTACTTCCTTATTGTGTTCGATTTCATAAGATGGAGATAAGGTATACAACTTTGACCGCTCAATCACAAAATCAGAAGACAGCAGAAAGCTGGAGAACTATTTGTCGGGTAAAATTTCAAAATGTACAGAAAAGCATGGATGTCTATAAATATTAGCGTTTATTATAATATCAATATACTTTAGCCAATCTGCATAGAGGCATGTTATGCTACCGTCTAATCGTAACATGCTACGTTGATATTCTAGAAAACTCCACCGCGTCTTGATTGGATGGAAGTTTTTCGAATCCTTTAGAGCCACTGGAGCCTTCATCGAAGTTCTTGGAAACCGTCCTTACACTCTGACAGTTAAAATAAACGATGAACGAATAATTCACTTCCTTTTTCAGAACTCTAAGATAAATTTATGTTCAAATTTCTATTAACTACTGATATGGTTTGTTCTACTAGAAATGAAACAAATACGAAGGAGTGTAATTCATTTCAAAGAAGATAATAATTTATAGAAGTTATATAATATACTCTTGTGGGCCAGGGTAATTTCTCATTGGTTTTCGAGAGAACCAGATACCATTCAGACTTTCACGTGACAACCCAAAACAGTACAGCTCAACCCAGTTTAACAGGAGAGCCAAACACCACCCAGGCTTAAATTTTATAACCTGAACAATACAGCTCGACCCCGCTTCACAGGAGGATCAGACACCGTATAGGCTTTAACGCTACAATCTGAATAGTACACATCAATCCTATGGTGCAACCAAACAGGTATCAAGCACCCTGGTAGAACATCTGCACCATTCATATACACATTCACATAAACATGTATATTTATTCCGATCAATGATCGTGTGAATCAATTATGCACAGCACGAACAGGCCATAGTTGACCTATTCCGCTTACACGACAGTTAAACTCAATAATGTTAACAATGACGACATGCCTTACAATGTCCCAATGACAATGACCCTCGGGAACACTGTAAAGCAACCACCAAATACGAAGTAATGTAATTCATTTCAAAGAAGATAATAATTTAATTTTGTGTTATTTCTTTCAAACTTTTCTGTTTTTGTCTTATTGTCAACTATATAAACTTTATCATATGATACCCTGAAAGTGTTAATTTCTTGTTTAACAGATTATTCTAATGAAGATCGGTATTATTAAATATATACATGTATGTGAATAAAGTAATATTCGAAGAAACAAACAACCTATTACACAAGTTAGTAGCCATCTGAACGGTACTGGGTTCGAGTCTCGGAGTGAATATCAACTCGAAGATGCAAGTGCATCCAGCTGACAAGTCCGTAAACGGAACAAAACGAGCTTTTTAGATTTGATTGCTAGTCATTATCCATCATTGCACATATGTTAACAAGAGACTGATCACTTTCATTCCTAAATAACAATCGGTAGGTACAAGTAAAACAACTCTAAGTGACTTTAAAATTCACCCCATTGTATGAGCTAGTGGTTGTCACGACTCACTAGATAAGCGGATAACTCATTGACTTTTGAAGCGAATGGTACTGGGTTTGAGTCTCGGAATGAACATCAACTCTAAATTGCTGGTAAATCCAGCTGACAAGTCCCTAAAACGGAATGGAACAAGATTCCTGGATTCCACTGTTATTCACCATACATCTTTGCTTAGAATGCTTGCAATATTGAGGTAATACATACAATACGCACATATGCCGATAAAAGACTGATCAATGGTAACCCTATACAACAATAAGAAGATTCGAAAAACAACAATACAAGAATGAATTGAAACTTTGTCAAACATTAAACTGAGTCAGATCATGAGTTAAGGATACAGGCTGATGTGAATAACCTGATGATCAAGTTTCCATTTTCATTATTAATCATAAAACGATCCATAATCTGTTTATCTTAGTTTTGTTTTATAATTCTGATTGCCCGTTTCATGCTAGTTTAAAATAAAATGAAGCTCTTGAGTTTCGCTAGTCTAAGTCTTATTGAAGCGACTGAGATCTATAACATCCAACTTCAAAAATCTTTGGAGATCGAGTTCATGACTGTAGTTTCTTGAGTGTATAACAACAAATTTTCAACTATTTTGTATTGTATATTCACTTGATGTTGTTTAAATTGTTATTTAAGAATACAATTGATCAGTTTCTTATTGGCATATGTGTACGCTATGCGAACTTCTTCCATATTGTCTTAAGGCCATAAGCTATATAAGCGAATATACCTAGTGATTAGTAGTGGAATCTAGAACATGTGGTTCATCCTATTTATACTGTGAGTTGAAGAATACTGATCCATGTCATAAGCTCCATTGGGAGTAACAGGTACAAGCAAGTAAGTAAGTAAGTAAGTAATTGTTAAATCTTAATAAAGTACAATCCTTTATAAAATTACAATAAAGTTAAAATCATAAGTCCATTGAAACTAAACCATCATGGAAAAACTTGAAATCATTAGACGGTTGTTTCGTCCTATTGTAGGACTCCTCAACAGTACGTATCCATGACCTCGCTTTTTTTCCCCCCCCCACCTCCACAAAACCTTTGATAAGATTATATTAATAAACTTACAATAAACTAATAATTGTGTTTCACTTTCTCTACGATAAACAAATGGTTCATTATTTTTTAATTGAATTGTATTCTCAGCTACACATACATAAATTCCAGCATCATCTATTGTAATGGAATTAATTTGAAGTATTGGACTTAACCAATGTAATCTATCATTACTTATATTAGAATTAGATGAATATTTAGATATACTATGAATTGTTTTGAATAGATCATTATTATAAATATACTTGGATTGAATTAAATGTGATGAGATCTTATTGGATTTTCGATACCAGAATATATTGATTGGTGGTGGATTTGAAATAGCATCACATAATAAACGAACTGATTCACTATGATGTACATAAACAACATCAGTTGTTTTAATTATGGGAGCAACTAAAACAAAACAAAACAAAAAAAGGGAAGTCCTATAAATGGAATCACTAAAAGGTTAACAACAAAATCATTAAATGAGAACAGCAATCCAATCACTCTTGATGGCGAAACTCTGGAAGATGTGGAATCCTTCACATACCTGGGAAGCATCGTCGATAAACAAGGAGGTTCAGATGCAGATGTCAAGGCGAGGATTGGCAAAGCTAGAGTGGCATTCCTTCAACTGAAGAACATATGGAACTCAAAACAACTTTCAACCAATATCAAAGTCAGAATCTTCAATACGAACGTCAAAGCAGTTCTACTGTACGGAGCTGAAACTTGGAGAACTACAACAACCACCATCAAGAAGGTACAGGTATTTATTAATAGCTGTCTACGCATGATACTCAACATCCATTGGCCGGATACCATCAGCAACAGCCTTTTGTGGGAGAGAACCAACCAGCTTCCAGCTGAAGAGGAAATTAGGAAAAGACGATGGAAATGGATAGGACATACATTGAGGAAATCATCAAACTGCATTACGAGACAAGCGCTAACTTGGAATCCTGAAGGGAAGCGGAAATGAGGAAAGCCAAAGAACACATTACGTCGGGAAATAGAAGCAGATATGAAAAAGATGAATAAGAACTGGAAAGAGCTTGAAAGGATTGCCCAGGACAGGGTTGGATGGAGAATGCTTGTGAGCGGCCTATGCTCCTTCACGAGGAGTAACAGGCGTAAGTAAGTAAGTAAGTAAAATCATTAAATAATCAAATAGACATAATGAGACTCAGATGAACAACATTTTGAGCAACGCTGAAGTAACTATGAGAATGGACACCTATTGATTAAGATCAAATGATGGTTATTAACCAGTTAGAATTATGATTTATAGTTGATGATTAAGGTTGGAAATTACATTTGAAGTTTTCATCATGAACTGGTATCCGATATAATACCGAGTCTTTATTTAACTAAATGGATGGATGAATTTCGCGCGAAAAATTGATGACTCGTTATCTTATATCTGATTGGTTCATTCATATATTATAGTGTCACCTTTAGACATCTAATGACTTAAAATGTATACTTTTATATATAACATAGAGCATACATACATATTGATTAAGCTATTTGCCTCTTTTCAGTATATAAGTAGTTAATTCTTACAAGTTATGTAAAAACTGTTATTTCAAAAGATCCTGCTTTCGTTAATTTCATAATGTTTAATAGACTTGTTTTTAACCTACAATAAACTTGGCAGCCTACTATCCGTCTTCCTTCTTCTTCTGGTGGTCAACTGAATTTTTAAGACTTCCACATTTAAAGGAAAGCATGAAATACACTGGGCAATTCGGAAGATTTGATCTTCGCAGATGAATTAACCCTTCTATCCCGTACACACGAACAAATGCAGATGAAGACAACTAGTGTAGTAGAAGTCTCTGAATCAGTGGGCCTCAATATATACAAAGGTAAAGCAAGCTCCTTAAATAGAACACGGTGAATATCAAGTCAATCATACTTGATGGAGAAACTCTGGAACAGGTGGAAACGTTCATATACCTGGTCAGCATCATCAATGAACAAGTATAATCTGATGCATATGTATAGGCGAGGATTGTCAAAGCAAACGCCGTATTCCTACAATTGAACAATATATAGAACTGAAAACAACTGTCAACTAATACCAAAATCACAATCTTTAATACGAATATCAAGACAGTTTCACTATACGGAGCTGAAACTTAAAGAACGACGACAACCATTATCAAAAATGTACACAAGATACTCAATATTCGTTGACCAGATATCATCATCAACAACACCAACAACAACCTACTGTGAAAGACAACGAACTACCTTCCAAATGAAGAGAAAACTAAGAAAAAACGTTAAAAGTGGATAGAACATACATTACGGAAATCACTAAACCGCATCATGAGGCAATTCCTCACATAGAGTCTTAAATGGAAATGGAAAAGAACAAGATCAAATAACCTGATAAGGATGAATAGCAATTGAAAACAACTGGAAATAATCATTTAGGACAAAGTTGAATGGAGTATGCCAGTCAACGATCTATGCTCTTCGACCAAATGTAACAAATGCAAATTAATCTAAACAACTTGACATTGTATTTCAATAGAATTCATTATATATATATATATAACACTTACAATAAAATTCAATGATTAATGATTTTTCTATACTTCCCATTATATTATTCGCTGTACATGTTACATTTATTGTCCAATTATTTTTGGAAACTTTACCCAATTCATCTTTGATTAGAATTTTATTGAATATCGCTGAATTTAATTGTTCTGTTTCTTTCAATAGATTTTCAATAGAAGAACAACAACAACAAGAAGAAGAAGATAAAAATGAATGAAAAGAAAACAATACTACTGATAAATATAGACTAGTGGTTAAGTGTTCACACACGAAACTAATAAGTCTTAGATTTGAATGTCGTGAGGCGCAATCATAGATGTGCACTGCCGCTGAAGAATCTCACAATAGGACGAAACGGCCGCCCAGTATTTTCAAGTTTTCTATAATGGTTTAGTTTCAATTGACTCATGATCTCAATTATTAAAATTACTATAATATCTACAAAATCTTCTCTAATATTAATGAACATATGCTTACTAGTGACTCGTTTCAAGAGGTATTTCCTATAGTTCCAGTTAGAATCAGTGACTACTGAAGTTGAATTGGTTCTGTTGTGAGATAGTAACTCACAGAAGATAATGGTGGATGTGTTGTTCTACCTAGTGGATTGGTTGAAGTTAGACATTAACAACGTTGGATGCCGACTCAATGGTCTAGTGGTTAAGCGTTCGGGCGGGAGACCGATATATCTTGGGTTTGAGTGTGACGTGTGGAAACGTGGATGCACACTGCAGAAGTGTCCTATACTAGGATGAAACGGCCGTCCAGTGCTTTCAGGTTTTTTATAGTGATCTAGCTTTAATTGACTCAGGAATTGCAATATTACATTCGTTTTTGTATTTTAGGTGTCATATATTGCTAGGTATTCCTTGAGTTCTCTGGATGTCAACAAGAGAAACAAGTTTTTTTATATAAACAAACTCCTTTATGTATATAAGAGAAGAGAGAACTTGACTTCAAAATGGAGTTTTTGTGTTCCCCCAAAAATCTATGAAACGATTACACATCAGTGTTCATATAGTATGTACATGAACTTGTACAAGATGAGGGAATCAAGTTAGTCCATTTGACAATGTGAAGTACATTTCAATTTGAAGTTAATATGTGTTATATACAGTTGCATAATAGAAAACTTAAGTATATATTACAGAGTTTTGTTCTCTGAGCTGGATGGTTTGATCGTGAAGGTTTCATCGTTCTTCTGAACGAGATCATCAGCAGAAACTTCAGACTTCTATCTGAAGTTTGTGCTGATAATGTCATACAGAAAAACGATGAAAGTTCTACAACCAAAACCATCCATCTCAGAGAACGAAACTCCATCAAAATCATCCACCTGAGCTATAAATCTTCTCCACCATTACATAGTTATTACATAATTTTCATTACATACTTGATATTCTTTGACCATATTGATCTATCCAATATATAGATGGTTTAGGATTACCTATAGCATGACAAACAGTAGTACTTGGTTCTTCATATAAAACAATCCAAGGTTCATTGGAAAACTGTAAAATGACTGGAGCATCTGAAATTATATTAGTAAACAATAAAAAAGTGGTAATAGATTATTAAAACTTTGATTCGTAAACATTTAAAGTATAACGAAGGTTTATGTTATATCCGAACGAGAAATAAATGCATGGTAACCGCCAGGAATTACTTATGAACCATTATCATCTAAATATTGTCAATGTATAACCATTAAGTAACTCCGCCTGGAGTCCCTTCCGGGGGGCTACTGCCGGTCTCAAGCCCGGATAAAGGAGTAGGGTTGAGCATGGGGTTAGCGACCCCATCCCGTAGAAAACTAACTCGCTAAAAAACGCTAACCAGAAAAAATTATTCAAACTATTTAAACTCTGCCCTGGGAGTCAGGAGGTCTTCGTTTAGAAGAAATATGATGCCTCATGATAAAAGCCGAGTTTCTTCGGAAGTCACGAGGCCGATGCCCCTTCTGACAAACAGAGCAACCATTTATTTAGGTACATGGAATGCTCGCACAATGTGGGAGACTGGGAGAGTTTTCCAAATTGCTGCAGAAATGAGGAGATGCAATTTAGAGGTGCTTGGGATCAGTGAAACACATTGAACGCAAGTTGGACAGCAACGACTAGCTTCAGGGGAGCTGCTGTTATACTCCGGACATGAAGAAGAAAATGCCCCACATACACAAGGAGTTGCATTGATGCTGTCCAAACAAGCACAAAATGCACTTATAGGATGGGAATCTCATGGACCAAGGATCATCAAAGCCTCCTTCAAAACAAAGAAAACGGGGATTACAATGAACGTCATCCAATGCTACGCGCCTACCAACGACTACAATGAAGACGCTAAAGATCAATTCTACGATAGGCTGCAGTCAATCGTCGAGAAGTGCCCAACAAAGGACCTGACTAATCTGATGGGAGACCTAAATGCCAAGGTTGGAATTGACAACACCGGATATAAAGACATCATGGGACGACACGGAGTCGGAGAAAGGAACGAAAATGGTGAGAGATTTGCAAATCTATGTGCCTTCAATAAACTGGTCATAGGCGGGACTATATTCCCACATAAACGCATCCACAAAACCACATGGACTTCACCGGATCACACCACACAAAACCAAATCGACCATATCTGCATCAACAAAAAGTTCAGGAGGACGATGGAGGACGTGAGAACCAAGAGAGGAGCTGATACAGCATCAGATCATCACTTGCTGGTCGCCAAAATGAAATTGAAAGTCAAGAGCCACTGGACAACGGGGAGGACACTATCACAAAAGTTTAATACGGCTCTCCTTCAGGATAATGACAAACTCAATAAATTCAAGATAACCCTCAGCAATAAGTTCCAAGCCTTTCATGATCTACTCAATGGAGAAGGAACTACTATGGAGAGCAACTGGAAAGAGATAAAAGAGGCAATCACTTCAACATATCATGAGGTTCTGGGCCAAAAGAAGCACCATCACAAGGATTGGATCACGGTCAATACACTGGATAAGATTCAAGAAAGGAGGAACAAGAAAGCAGCAATCAATACCAGTCGAACATGAGCAGAAAAAGCCAAGGCACAGGCTGAATACACATAAGTAAACAAGCAAGTGAAGAGGAGCATCAGAACTGACAAACGTAAATATGTGGAAGATTTGGCAATGACGGCGGAAAAGGCTGCCAGAGAAGGAAACATGAGACAACTGTATGAAACAACAAAGAAACTCTCCGGAACTCACCGTAAACCAGAACGACCAGTGAAAAGCAAGGAAGGCAAGATAATCACCAACATTGAAGAAGAACGAAACAGGTGGGTAGAACACTTCAAAGAACTCTTGAATCGACCAGCCCCACTGAACCCACCCAACATCGAAGCAGCACTCACGGACCTCCCAATTGATGTTGGCGCACCGACAATTGAAGAAATCAGCATGGCTATCAGACAAATCAAGAGTGGCAAAGCAGCAGGACTAGACAGCATTCCAGCAGAGGCACTGAAAGCAGACGTGGCGGCAACTGCAAGGATACTCCAAACTCTCTTCAGAAAGATCTGGGATGAGGAACAGGTACCAAAAGACTGGAAAGAAGGACTTCTGGTCAAAATACAAAAGAAAGGCGATCTCAGCAACTGTGACAACTACAGGGGAATCACTCTTCTTTCAATACCAGGAAAAGTCTTCAACAGGGTATTGTTAAACAGGATGAAGGACTCCGTAGACGCCCAACTTCGAGACCGACAGGCAGGATTCCGTAAGGATAGATCGTGCACAGACCAAATCGCAACTCTACGGATCATTGTGGAACAATCAATTGAATGGAATTCATCACTCTATATCAACTTCATCGACCACGAAAAAGCATTTGATAGCGTGGACAGAACAACTCTATGGAAGCTTCTTCGACACTACGGCGTGCCTCAGAAGATAGTCAATATCATACAGAATTCCTACGATGGATTAAACTGCAAAATCGTTCATGGAGGACGGTTGACAAAATCGTTCGAAGTAAAGACCGATGTCAGGCAAGGTTGCTTACTCTCACCCTTTCTCTTCCTCCTGGTGATCGACTGGATCATGAAGACGTCAATATCTGAAGGGAAGCACGGGATACAGTGGACAGCTAGGATGCAATTGGATGATCTAGACTTCGCAGATGATCTGGCTCTTCTATCGCATACGCAACAACAAATGCAGGAGAAGACAACCAGTGTAGCTGCAGCTTCGGCAGCAATAGGTCTCAATATACACAAAGGGAAAAGCAAGATTCTTCGATACAACGCAGCATGCATCAATCCAATCACAATTGACGGAGAAGCTTTGGAAGATGTAAAAGCCTTTACATATTTGGGCAGTATCATCTATGAACACGGTGGATCCAATGCAGATGTGAAGGCACGGATTGGCAAAGCAAGAGCAGCATATTTACAACTGAAGAATATCTGGAACTCAAAACAATTGGCAACCAACACCAAAGTCAGAATTTTCAATACAAATGTGAAGACAGTTCTACTGTATGAAGCGGAAACCTGGAAAACTACGAAATCCATCATCCAGAAGATACAAGTGTTTATTAACAGTTGTCTACGGAGAATACTTCAGATCCGTTGGCCGGACACTAATAGCAACAACCTACTGTGGGAGAGAACAAATCAGATCCCAGTGGAGGAAGAAATCAGGAAGAAGCGATGGAAGTGGATAGGACACACATTGAGGAGAGCACCGAACTGCGTCACAAGACAAGCCCTCATATGGAATCTTCAAGGTCGGAGGAGGAGAGGAAGACCAAACAATACATTACTCTGAGAAATGGAGATAGATATGAGAAAAATGAACAAGAATTGGATGGAACTATAAAAGAAGGCAGTGTGGGACAGAGTGGGTTGGAGAATGCTGGTCGGCGGCCTATGCTCCATTAGGAATAACAGGCGTAAGTAAAGTAATAACCATTAAGTAACAGTATTATAGATATATTGATATTCCTTTTGTTTATAAGATTCCATTTGATCTATTGACTACTACTATACAACTTACTATCCTTAAGTTATTCCCAATCTATTAGTTACAGTCTCTCATAATCCCAGTCACTATTTGGGCTTGATCTTCTACAAATGTTACATTCTGTACTGTGATATGGTTTGTTTGTATATAAACCGAGTATATCTGAAAAATATGATTTGTATAGCGGAGGTTGATATTGGTATTCTGAACTCAACTAGCTGGGTAAGGCAAGTATCTACTATTTTGGTAGATCATCAAGAACTCAGAGTTTAATCTGGACCGCTCATAATGGTTTTAGGCGTCATTGGTTTGATCAGTAAGTCGATGTTCTAATTGATGATTGTATCACATGATATATTAACCAGGATATCTGTAACTTGTTGTCAAATATATTCGATTGTCCCCATTGGTGTTCTTGTTCACTACATTTGGTGTCGCTGCCAACCAAGAGTGGGGAAAGGTGATGTTCTGAGGATGCCGTTGAGGGACTGGAGCTAGGGTGCAGGTTGGGGCAGTCTGGTGCGGAGAGGTGGCGTCTGGTGGATTGTTCTGGAAGGGCGGCGTTGGCTGTAGTAGGTGCCGTCGACGGAGAGGAGCGGTGTGACGTGCGGCTGATGGGTGGACATCGGATGTAGATAGCTCAGCAGGCCGGTGTGGCACGGGTGTAGACATTCCAGGTGCCGTGTGGAGGCCGCATGTTGGTTCCCCAGCAGGTCGAAAAAGTCATGGACGTCAGCGCGCCGCAGACCCGCCATTTCGATGGAGGGTGTAGCACAGACTACAGAAAAGAAGAGTGTGGCACGGCGGGCATGAACCACCGTAAGAACGACTGTTTTTAAAGGGGAGACGAGTGTAGTGTGTGTTACTTATGTAGACATAAGTAGTATATAACGTGAGTCGTGAACAGAATGTCTTTAAAGACATTTGTATGAAAATGTAAGAACAAAGGAATTCTGAGTCATTTCAGACAATTGATGGACATTTTGCAAATTGAGCATTCAATATATGGTTGTTAGATTTTACTACCTAGTTCCGTAAATTGTTGTTAAATACATTCGTTTGTCCCCATTGGTGTTCTTGTTCACTACAATCGTACTTAACAGATTTGATCCCATGTTACCCAACTTTACAGTCAGACACGTTACCATTAGGCTATCCGGGATGCGATCAACCTTTTATAGGATTGAGATGTATTTACAGTGGATTAATCACTAAGTGGTGATCAATCAAAGTATTATACTTTAAATTGCAAGTTACAATTCGTTGATTATGTAACAGTTATATGACCGTTTGATAAATCTTTGATACCATCTTATCAATTGTTTGTTCAGAGTTAAAATATGTTCATTTTGATTATCTTATTTTTCAATCTGTTGATACTTTATGTCAGATGAAGAAGAAAAATGCAGATTAGATCAATCAAAAGGTTTAAAAAAAAACCATTGGAATTCACTTAAGTCTATGTTTATAATGAAAGAAAATATAAGTGGTTACGTAAATTTACTGATATACTTTATTTTATTCAGATCATGAACCGATTGATGTTAGACTACCATTGAAAACCTGGAAGCACTAGACGGCCGTTTTATCGTGGATGCGCACTACTGAGGAGTCCCACAATAGGACGAAACGGCCGTCCAGCGCTTCCAGGTTTTCAATGGTGGTTTAACATCAATCGGTTCATGATCTCAATCAAAAACTTGAAAATCTCCATAACACCTAAATTGATGATATACATTTGTTTTCATCTTATTTCTTATGTTTAAGTGGTTTGAATTAGTTTTTCTGCTTGGCATTTTTTTAGCGAATGAGTTTTTTACAGGATGGGGTCGCTGACCCAATGCTCAAACCTTCTCTTTTGTCCGGGATTGAAACCGGCAGTAGCTCAAGAGGGCCTCCAGGCAGAGGAAGAATTCAGGAAGAAGCGCTGGAAGTGGATAGGACAGAATTTGAGGAAAGCATACAACTGCGTCACAGAGCAACTCCTCATCACTTGGAATCCTCAACGCCAAAGGGAAAGAAATAGACTAAAGAACACATTACGCCGAGAAATGGAGATATACATGAGAAAAATGAACAAAAATTGGATAGGACTGGAAAGGAAGGTCCAGGACAGAGTGCTTTCGAGAATGCTTGGCGGAGGCCTATGCTTTATTAAGATTAACAGGCTAAGTAAGTAGGTAAATATTTCTTAAGTTCATCGACGATAAAAAACTAAACAAACTGGGTTAAAAGGAAGGATATAATCATTTTTACATGTAAAATGTAGGAGAATCAGTAATGTAGTGAACAAGAACACAAGTGAGGACAATCAAATGTATTTGAATACAAAATTACAGAGGATCTTGGTAAGATCTGAGAATCATATAGTAAATGGTTCAATTGCAAAATATCAATCAATCGTCTTAGACTTCATTATTAGTTTATTTCCTAATGAATCACTCTCCATTCTTGCTCTCTTGTCTTCGATCTTCTTAACCTTCTGCTACTAGACATTCCACTACTTATATCTGTCAACATCAGTAGCACATACCACAGTAGTAGTAGTAGTAGTAGTAGTAGTAGTAGTAGTAGTAGTAGTAGTAGTAGTAGAAGTAATTTGTATAAAATATGCTAAGCAATAATCAATGCTTATTAGTTTCATTATACTAGAATGATGAATAACATAAAAAACGTAAATTACATTGAAATTCTTTACATGTAAAGTGCTAAGAAGTAATTAACCATGTAGGTTTGCAATTTGATTACATAACACAAAAGACACTGTCTTTATTGACTTGTTTTTCTATCTTTCATAATGACATCTACATAAGATTGAATAACGTTTTTTTTTCGTTGGACAAATGCAAGAATTTGTCAATTATATTCAGTTCAAGCCCTAACTTGGAATCCTGAAGATGAGAGGGAAAGAGGAAGGCCAAAGAACAGATTATGTCGGAAATCAGTAATAGATATGGAAAAGATGAATAACAACTGGAAAGAACTGGAAAGGATTGCCTAGGACAGGGTTAGATAGAGAATGCTAGTGAGCAGCCTATGCTCCTTCATGAGGAGTAACAGGCGTAAGTAAGTAAGTAATTCAATATCGTATATGAATTACTTATGAAGAAGCTTTTAAAAATGATCATTCTACGATGTATTCCACTAATCAAGATTTTTATCAGAATGGGTTTTGTGGAGATTAGTTAAAGTTAGACATTAACACCGTTGGATGCCGGCCAGCTCAGTGGTCTAGTGGTTATGTTCTCGCGCGCGAAACTAGCAGGTCCTTGGCTGGAATCTCGCAGGGGGCGAGGTCGTGGATGCGCACTGCTGAGGAGTCCCACAATAGGACGAAACGGCCGTCCAATGCTTCCAGGTTTTCCATGGTGCTCTAGCTTCAACTGACTCATGATCTTAATCATTGTAATCAAGATTTGAAATATTTGCGATTTGTATTCTGCACATATTCTGTGCCCACTCTCTATCTTCCCTTAAATTATGAGACTAAAATAACTTCATATCATTCTTTCTACCAACTAATTCTTTCTTCCTGTACTATCTCCTTGTAGAAAATCTTCCTTGTATATATTACATCATGGAGTTAACTACTTCTATGAATCCGGTGTTCATCTTGCTTTGCTAATGAAGTATGGTAACTTGAACCGATGGGTATATATGCCAGGTCTTACATTGTAACTGACTGCACATATTCTCTAAAGTATGTTTTCCATGGTTGACTACAGTAGTTTTCATGAACATTAATTATTTAATAGGTTGATAGTTTGTGTAATGAGAAAACAAAAAGTAATTATAAAACTTACATCTTACAGAGATTCTATATGGTTCTGATATACTTGAACCTATTCTATTCACAGCTTTACATACAATTTGCATACCATCATGTGACCGGGATACCTTCAATCGAAAATGACTAGATGTGTTTCCATAAGGAATATTTGTTGGAAAATACACTGATGACTTGGTGTTCTACAACGAAGATGAAAAAAGATTCAAGTGATCGACTTGCAAATAAACCACTAGTAGTGAAATATTCACCATTGTTATACTAAACATGATACTCTGATATTGCTATAGTTTACACCACGGACTGAACTGAAGTGGATAAACAGTGAATATCAGAAAGTACTGAAGAGATTACTAGTCTTAATGTGGTGTTCCTTTATGATATGTTTCCTCAATCGAACCGAGAATTGAATCCAGGATCGTTGACAAGCACTCAACCCATTGATTAAGACTACTCACCAATATCCAAGAAATTCCATTTTGAATTTAGTCTCTGGTGAGTATGGTTGAAATGTCATAGCGTTTCCTGGTTGTCAATTTTTTTTAATCTAAATGACAACCTTTTGTTTGTGCAAATTCAACATTCTCCATAGCTTTTGAATTGTCATTGAACTATGATATTTTCTTATAACTATCTTAGTAAAAAGGTTATGAAAAACACTCATATACAACTTGAATTCAATAGTTGAATTCATGAGTCAATTGAAGCTAGACCATCATGGAAAACCTGGAAGCACTGAACGATCGTTTAGTTTTAGTATGGGACACCTCAATAGTGCACATCCACGATCTCGCTCGCAGGATTCGAACCCAGGATAAACTCACCAATGATAAACTGAAACGCTAAACACCACATTAACTTTCTTTGAACTTGTATGACTGTGTCTTGTTTATTCACCAATCACAATTTTATGTTCATTATAAAACATTATTTGCCTTGTTGACTCATTTTTCCTATCCTCTAGTTACTGTTCGGTATGTTATTTATGTCCCTGTTTTGATAGACTGTATTGTTTATTTTGTATACTGTGCTAATTTATGTTTTAGAAAACGCTTACTTGTTCTTACTTTGGCTAAATCAAGACTGTGTGCTCGACGGTCCAGAAAATAACTTAGAGTTACGCTTGTAGGAGATTATTTCCCACACCCAGTATCTTCGGTCTTGTGCGCAAGTGGAGCAGTTTCGTGAATTGTTTGAAGTTAAGCATTAACACCATCGGATGTCAGTTCAGTGATCTAGAGCTTAAGCGTTTGCGTTCGAATCTGTTAAGCGGGATCGTGAATGAGCACTGCTGAGGTGTCCCGTAATAGGATGAAACATCCGTCCGTTGCTCCCAGGTTTTTCATGGTGGTCTAGCTTTAATTGGCTACTAAATTACTATATAATATCCATAAAACCCCTCTCTGTTTATCAGTAAAACTAATCTATTGCTGACTGAATATTGATAACATTGAATGAAATGAGGCTAAAATAAATTTCCATACAGAGATAGGTAAGACTATAATTTATGGATGATTTAATCAGATTTGGGATAACAGATCTTGGATTTTAGCTGAAAATTCATTCATTCAATTGTGTAAATGGAGTTTTAGCACTTAAACTGATGTCAGTTCGTGATGAAAAAACCGAAGTCTAATTCCTTACCATAATCATAGACTGGTAATAAGTTGGACACTCTTAAAGTGTGTGCTCATTAATGTTTAAGACTACAATTGATCAATCTCTTATTGACATATGTACATACTATGCGGATTACCTTGATATTGCCTTAAGTTACAAGTTTTATATGCAAAGATGAATAGTGCATAGCAGTGAGATCAAGGATGCACGTTTCATCCTATTTAGTACTGGTCAACTGGATGTACCTGTATCTCAAGTCTCAGTAGCTAAGTTGAGAAGATGGTAAAGTTTGAAGTGAACGGTAATAGGTTCAAATCCCAGAGTGAACATCAACTCTAGAATACTAGTACATCTATCTGATTAGTCTAAATTAGGACATAACACGTATCCTGTATTCCACTGCTAGTCGCTATAAAGTAAATTCAATGTAAATAGGTTACTTACTTCACTTATCTTGAATGAATCTTTTATATTATAATTGATATTATTGAATGTTTCTAATTTCATTGAAGTTATAGTTGTATTTTGTATTGGAAGAAATGACCAAACTATTTGAGGTGGAGGTAATCCTTTATCACTTTGACATAATAAATTAAGATAATCCCCTTCAATAAAATTAGATTCTTTATTGGATTCAAATAAGTTTTCATTAGTAATTTGTATGTTTACTGTAATAGAAGGTTTGGCTGGTGGTGCTAAAAATGTCGAATGTTAACAAATGTGATTATCTCTTTGAAATATTACTGGAGACAAGTAAAACAAAAAAAAGAACTTCTTTTCAACTATATAGACCAGTTGAATTCACTTGATATTGTTTGTTTGAATCTTCCCTTTGATGTTTAGGACTGCAATTGATCAGACTTTTATATTGGCATATGTGTATCCTGTACGAATTGACTCGTTATTGGCACTAATTCACAAGCATTATAAGCAAAGATGGATAGTGGTTAGTAGTGGAATCCAGAAGCGAATTTCGTCCCACTTGGGACTTTTTAGCTGGATGTACCTGCATTTCAGGGTTGATCTTTAGTTTGGGGTCCGAGCTCAATACGGTTCGCTTCAAACACCATCGTGTTATCCATGCTTGTGAATTAGTGCCAATAACGAGGCAATACGCATAGTATACACATATGCCAATAAAAAACTGATCAATTATAGTCCTTAACATCAATAGGAAGATTCAAACAAACAAGACTAAGTGAATTTAAACTTTATCTCATTGCATGAGCAGCTGGATATCAGGACTCAGCAGCTAATTAAATAACACGGTGGCGCTTGAAACGAAAGGTTCTGAGTTCGAGTCCCAGGGTGGACATCAACTCTGAGATGCAATTACATCCAGCTGACGAGTTCCAAATAGGACGAAACGCGCGTTCTGAACTCCACTACTCGTCACTATCCTTCTTTACATATTTACCAGCATTTACATATTACCCCTTGATAGTTTAGGATGAGATTTTATAACGTCTCAAAACTGATTATTGTGATTGTTATTTTAGTTCTTATGCTTCTTGATTCTTGTAACGAACATACTTTTTCTCATTCTCTCGATCTTTCCCATGTCAATTTTCATTCAATTCTCAGTACAGGGTGTGATTTCGTTTAAGTCCTTTCCTCTTGATTTCAGAATTTCGAGCTTAGACGTGCTTTTGTGATGTGGTCTGATGATTTCCGCATTGTATGTCTCACCCAACTCAAGTGGATTTGAATGATCTCTTAATTATTTGAATGCCGATTCATTCTCTCACATAGTAAGTTGTTGCTGATGGCGTCTGCTCAACGGATGTTTAGTATCATGTGTAGAAAACTATTTATAAATACTCGTACATCTTTGATAATGGTTATGATAGTTCAGAACTATATTTGCGTTTGTATTGAAAATAGTGACTTCAATGTTGACTGAGAGACAGTTGTTTTGATTGGCATAAATTCTTCAGTTGTAGGAATGCTGCTGTTGGATTGATAATAAGTTTATTCACATTTACATCAGATCCTCCTTGTTTTTCAACGATTTTGACCAGGTGCATGGACATTTCCACATCTTCCAGAACATCTCCATCAACAGTGATTTGGCTGTTGTTCTCCATATTGTAATGAAGGATCTTACTTCTTCCTATGTGTATTTTGAGGTCTATTGCAACAGAGGCTGCTGTCACACTGGCTGATTTCGGCTAATATTTGTTGTTGTGTATTGGATAGAAGAGCTAAGTTATCTGTAAAGATCAAATTATCTATCTGACTTTAAGCTGTCCTCTAAGATGTGTTTTTCACCATGTCGTAATGCTGTTTTTTCAGTCGCTTAGTGATTATTTAGCTTCTGTTTCGTTTTAAACAGGCTGATTATTATTAGTATTAAAATGATAGATACAAATAGCATCGCCTGAGTGTTAGTTATTCATCGATTATCAGATCAAGTGCACACATATATACTTGGCTTAAAGTCACACTTCATTTGTGAGGGGTTGTTGGTTGAATCAATAAGTTATCCAAACTGTTGAAGGATTCAGACGTCTGACATAGTACGTGAAAGGTGAACACCTTAGTAACGGATACAATACAAAGTTGTTTCATTTATGTTTATTCTTTATTTTTATGATATCTATGTTATAGATAGATAAGTTTATAATTTCACATATTAGTAGTATAAAAATAAACGAGATTTAGATTGATTTTGTTTTAAAATGTATCTCCCTTCAATGAAACAGTAAAATTATTTATGAGAGGAGATTCTGAACTTTTATCATAATATCCCCCCAAATGCCCTGTTACAGTCGAGGATGGGGAGAGTTTGCTATCTCTCTCTCTCTCTCTCTCTTTCCAAATGCTCTCACATGGCTACGTGTATACAGCTATTATCAGCAAAATCCTACTCACTGCCTTCTCGTAACATGGTTGTGGTTTATGAAATTGAATGGATAAAAAGTGAATATCTGGCCCTTTAATTGGGTAATAAAATACCTAGAGTCCATATAGGGGAATTGAAAAACCCGGATTTCAAACCAATGATTCACAAGGGCTGTAGGATCTTGAAGGAACAAATAATGAATGAACCAAACGTTTTTAAATGTTCACTATGGAATCGCATCATATCACATTGTTCCACTGTTTTGTGAATTAGATATTTAAATCCAAGTCTCCAGGTGTGTCCTCCCCCCTCCCAAGAAAGCCACCAGCTTTGACCTAAGTACCCAGATACTATCACAGAGTACACATAAATCAAATGATTTATGTAGTGCATATGTATTCAGTGCCCCCCCCCCTTTGTACTAATATTTATATATTCAAACAAATGATTACTTGATTGACTTACTTTGAACAATTAAATATCGATTCATTGTTACTGTTTTAACACCAGCTAACATTGCACATTGATAATTACCACTATGATATAATTGAACATTAGTTATGATTAAAATACCATTTGAATAAACTTGTATATCAATTAAATGAATTTGTTCTCTAATTATAAATTGAATAAATAAAATATAAAATTATTTTATTAAATTCACTAAGATGAATTCATTACAATGAATGTTTAAGGACTGAATATTAATACAATTACAAAAAATGAATACCTTCAATAGATTATGGTATAATCTGATGCAGATGTGAAGGCACGGATTGGCAAAGCAAGAGCAGCATATTTACAACTGAAGAATATCTGGAACTCAAAACAATTGGCAACCAACACCAAAGTCAGAATTTTCAATACAAATGTGAAGACAGTTCTACTGTATGGGGTGGAAACCTGGAAAACTACGAAATCCATCATCCAAAAGATACAGGTGTTTATTAACAGTTGTCTACGGAGAATACTTCAGATCCGTTGGCCGGACACTATAAGCAACAACCTACTATGGGAGAGAACAAATCAGATCTCAGTGGAGGAAGAAATCAGGAAGAAGCGATGGAAGTGGATAGGACACACATTGAGGAAAGCACCGACCTGTGTCACAACACAAGCCCTCATATGGAATCCTCAAGGTCGAAGGAAGAGAGGAAGATCAAAGAATACATTACGCCGAGAAATGGAGATAGATATGAGAAAAATGAACAAGAATTGGATGGAACTTGAAAAGAAGGCAGTGTGGGACAGAGTGGGTTGGACAATGCTGCTCGGCGGCCTATGCTCCATTGGGAGTAACAGGCGTAAATAAGTAAGTAAGTAAGTAATGGTATAATCTACACAATGGTATGTACTACTGATATTCATAAATATAAGTAGTGTGTATCATGAATTGAAAGTTAAATGTTCGATAATAGAAGGTTAAGTAGAGAATGATTGTTGTGAACATTAAAGTCTGACACAACTGATTGATGTATGGTTCTTAGATTTTACTTAGATATTCTGTAATAGTGTATTTAAATATATTCGATTGTTCTCACTTATATTGTCTGTTTATCACAATATCAGGTATCAGGATATGGGATATTGAAACTTTTCAATAAGTAACGTAAATGTGTCTTGAACACATCTCTTGTGGTTACCTTATTGAAAGTGAAATACTGATGAACTGATCAACTAAATTTATAATTCTGATCCTATAGTTACATGAAAACTATTTGTTGTCTCAAACTTCAATATGAGATCATCTAATTTATCCGATTTATCAAAAACTGAAAGGTGAAAGAACACACCGCGTCGAGAATTAGAAGCAGATATCAAAAGGATGAATACCAAGTGGGAAGGATTGTCCAGAACATTGATGGATGGAGAACACTATTGGGCCGCCTATGTTCCTTCACGAGGGGTAACATACGTAAGTGAGTAAGTAATTCACCTATCCAATTTCAGATCTATACTGATATGTAACATATGGTCGATTGTAATGAACAAGAACACCGATGGGGACAATCGAATATATTTGTACACATAATTACAAAGCATCTCAATAAAATCTGAGAACCATATATAGTCAATCGTTAATTTGCAAAATATCAATCCATCATCTCAAACTTGACTATTCTTGTTGCAAAGATCAATCCATCGTCTCAGATTTCATTGTTCATGCTTGATTATACAAATTGCGTTCCGTTACCGTTTTTTCCTTATCGATCTTCTACTGAAATACATTCTATACACGACCATAGTTATATACTACTTATATGGATATAAGTAATCCACGCCACAGATAAGCTCTTATTAAATTAAAGTAATTAATAATAAATTCTGATTGGTAATAATATGAATAAAGTTCAGGAAGTTTATCTTGAACATATCCATCATTGAGAAAGCTGAAGGAATAAACAATCTAAAGATGATTCCATAAATGGCTTATTCAAATGTTTGTTGTTGTATCTTATCTGAAATCGATGTTCATAAGGTGTACTTTTTTTTCAAGGAAAGTCTCGTAAACTGTAGTTTCGTCTTTGAAATTGTCCCAATGAATCTGGATGGATATACATATTTTATAAATATTTATAGAAGTTAAAATAGTTGTTCATCTACAGTGTCTTAACTTCCACCTACACTTTATTTCAACTCCTCCTGGAGCAACTCTAAAACTACTGCCGGTCCCATGTTCGGAGCAAGTGGTTTTTTTACAGAGCCTTTGACCTAATAGTCGAAACTGCAAGATAGTGGAATAAAGTCAGGAGATGTAGTCCCACGGTAGACGGTGACCGACAATTCATACATGCGCTTTCTATTCCTGGAACCCATGTTCACTATTAGTATGTAATGAGGGTTTTTCAACTGTCCTTGGTAGACTTTCCGTGTCTAACAACTCAATTAAAGCGTCAGACATTCACTTTTTGTCCTCTTAGGTTTATAAACAACACCCGTGTTGTGTGAAGGCAGAGGATAGGACTTCCATTCGAGTAGCGGTATACGCGTGAAATTAGAAGTAACATCAATTGACTACTGACTAGGAAAAATTAAAAGAAATGTTAGGCCTCAAATGAGATAAGAATGTACGCGTGCTTCTATCAGGCTTAAATTCCTAATACATCAAAGCGTTTGACAGCATAGGGTTGTGGAGATTACGTTTTTCATTGAGAACATGAACCGATTGATGTTAGACCACCACTGAGAACCAGGAAGCATTAGACGGTCGTTTCGTCTTATGTTAGGACTCAGCAATGCGCATACACGATCGCGCCCGCGAGATTCGAACACAGGGCATTCAGGCTCGCACGCAAACGATAACGCCTGAACCACAGAATCGTCATCCAACGGTGTTAATATCTAACCTCAAACAATCTACGAAATTTTGCGACCATCTTCCATTGTACTGAGGTAGATACCTATCTCTACCTGATAAAGATTAGCTCCACTGTTCAGGATCTCAATCAAAAACATAATAATTTCCACAACCTCATAATGAGAATTACTATGTGCTCACTAGTGACTAGATTCGTAAGGGGATTCTCGGAGTTCTAGTGAGAAGTGACTAGTGGAGCTAGTCCATATCAGGTAGTGACGGGTATCCATCTCCGACAATGGAAGATGTTCGCACGATTTCGTGGATTATTTAGAATTAGATATTAACATCGTTAAATACTAAGACAGTGGTCTAGGGTTTAACGTTTGCGCGCGAGACTGAAGGCCCTGGGTTCGAACCCTGTGATCGAGATCATGAATGCGCACTGGCACTGATGAGTCTCACGATAGGACGAAAAGGCCGTCTAGTTCTTTCAGGTTTTCAGTGGTGGTCTGTCATCAATCAGTTCATGATCTCAATTTAAAGCATTTGAAGTGAACATATATTTTATGTGTATTCAAAATTTATTTATCTATCTAAAACAAAATTTTAAATACGAAGATAGAAGGTGGCTACTAGTAAAATCCTGGACGTGAGTTTCGTCCTATTTGGGACTCGTCAGTTGGGGATATGCCTGTATCTCAGAGTTGATGTTCACTCCAGGAGTCGAGTACAGTATCGTTTTCTTCAAACACCATCACGTTATTCACTTAGCTATATTATTAACTTTATCAGAATCTTTACTACATTATGATACACGTATTTATTTCTAATCACTATCGTAGATATTATAAGTATGTTAATAGCTGATACATTTTCTGTTCTCTTTAATAGATCCAATAAATTGTACTCTTCCATAATACAGTATACAATAAAGTGTATATCTTTTTAAATCGAATATATTTCTACACTTTCCCTTAGTAACAAACATCATAGTTTCTATGCAAAATATGAATCTTTAAATATCTACCTCATCAAATTGAATAATTTATTCATTAAGAAAAAAACAACATATAAGGGAATGATTAAAACATAATTCATTTCCTACTTTTAATAAAATTAATTTGTCTCAACTCAAATATAACTTTGATATTATAAATAAAAAGCCAATAGATCAGTAGAGTGGAGTGGAGTGGAGTGGGGTGGAGTGGAGTAGAATGGAATGGGGTGGGATGTGGTGAAGTGGAGTGGAGTGGAGTAGGGTGTATATATTTGTATAACATTCCGAAATAAATGAAATGGAATATATATGTATATACTGAGATGTAAAAAGTGACAATCCAATGTTGTATTTTGTATTACAAAAAACAAAACAAAACATTTTAAATATATTGACTTGGTATTGTTTATTTGGATTATTCTATTGATGTTTAAGACTGTAATTGATCAGTTGATGAGTTTTAATTAGAACGAAATGCGTGTCATGGATTCCATGATCAGTTACTATACATTATTGCTTAGAAGACTTTTGAAGTAAGACAATATTGAAGTATTACACATAGTATACACATATATCAATAAGAAATTGATCAATTGGAGTTTTGAACATCAATGGGAACATACAAGCGAACAACACCGAATGAATTGATCTAATTTGGGTTTTTAATCAGTGTCTTATTAGCATATGTGCATACCGTGCGGTTTGCCTTGATATTGCCTTAATTTATAGGCATTCTAAGCAAAGATGGATGGTGGCTAGTAGTGGAATCCACAACGCTCGTTCCGTTATATGTATCTGCATCTCACAGTTGATGTTCACTTTAGGATTAGAACCAAATACCATTCACTTCAAACACAATCGTGTTATCCGCTTAGATACTGAATCCTGATAACTAAATGGATAAGATGATGATATTTGAACTGAAAGATACTTAATTCCAGTCCTGGAATACTATCGGTCAGAGTTTTTTGCTACCTTAAAAACTATACTTTCTAGAAATTTTGTTTTAATGTAAAATCATTGTCAAAAATACTTTTTACTTATCTTATATATGAACTCAAATGAATGAATAGATTCATGTTGAAATATTCAACTTCGCTTTCATTCAAAGTTATCTGTGTCTTCGCGACTTCAATAGACTTTGGACACTGCACAATAGTTAAACTGATTTAAAAAGCAAAGCATTTTAAGCTTTTTGCTGAATCGGTTGATGTTAGACCACCATTTAAAACTTGGAAGCACTGAACGGCGGTTTCGTTCTTTTGTGAGACTTCTTAGCAGTGCGCATCCAGGATCTCGCCCGCACTACTTCGTGG